AGAGAGAGAGAGAGAGAGAGAGAGAGAGAGAGAGAGAGAGAGAGAATGTGTATGTGTGTTGGGAAGGGGGAGCATAAGGTGTGAGAAGACTGGAAAGGGGAAAGGCCCCAAACAGGGCTCAGCTGCCTGGGTGCTTCTGGAGCAGCCCTGCTCCTCTTGGTTTTCTTAGCCGTGTCCTTTCTAGGGCCCAGTGCTCTGTCATCTTAACCAGAAGCAGGCCTATGCTTCAGGAGTCGCAACATGGCAGCCGTGTAGAGGGTAGACTGGAAAAGGAGGAGGCTGTTATAGTAGCCTAAGTCAGAAGTGACATGACCCTAAACAAGGGTAGAGGCTTTGTGAGGAAAGAAAACGGAGATAAGAAATATGAGAAATGTTGTGGAGAGGCAACAGACAAGACAGACAAGACTCTGCCACTGAGAGGATTGGGGCAGGGGGCGGCGAAGGCAGAGGGCAAAGGGAAGGGGAACTTGGACACTGGAAAAAACCGAGATGATCAGAAGGAGGACATCGTCTCCCATGGAACTGGAGGAGTCTGGAGGAGGGATGGGGAGGGAAGAAGCATAAAAACATATCCTATGACAAATGCCTTATGGGGCGTCTTCAGTTTCAGATAACCAGTAGGCAGCTAAAAACACACAATGGAGTTCAGAGAAGAGACAAAGGCCGGGCACAGAGACTGGAGAGTAGCCCTCCAGAGGCTCCCATTTCATAAATGACATTGTAATGGTGGCCAGTGGAATACCACAGCCATTTCTGTTCTGCCCAATCATGGACAATGGCTGCTGCTAAGATGTGCCATTTTTTCTCGTCAACTCTGTCAGAACCCTGCCATGCAATTCAGCCTGAAATGAGAGCCAACCAGGATTTAACAAACACTTACTGATTGACTCTACTTACTAGCGGGTGATCCAAAAAAGGAGACAAAGTCAGTCTTTACTTACCAAGCATTTACTTGGATATTCAGCTGCTACATGACTAGCAATGGCACTTGGAAAACACTGAGAAAAAAAGGAAAGACACATTTTCTGATAACACGTCTTTATGCTGTTCCCATTAGAGATCAAAATTCCTAATTCCCAACGAGTGGTATTTTCCATGGTGAATACCAAATGAGAATATACCACAGCATGAATCTGTACAAGTTTTCCAATGTAGAAGTTAAATATTTAAGAGAAATGTTTGCATAGTAAACATAAAGAGGCAGGTCACTTTTTGTCTGAGTATCCCATGCATCAACTCTGCAAGAAAGATAGGGTTCATCAACAAGTGTGAATATGTCATTTCAAAATGCAATTTTGGAGGTTAAAAAAGAGCACTTGTTTCAAGAAATCAACTCTACCCTTTTGTAATTGTATCAAATTTTGTGAAATATATTTATTGTAAAGTCAGTATGAAATTTTCTATGTGACTCTACAAAGTATCATATGGTTGAATTCATCAATGAATGAAAAATGAGAGGGAAACTTTGGAAAGATTAACATATATGTACATACACACAACACACACACATATTCAGATGTTAGAAATTCCAAATGTTACGAAGTCTACCTAACTCTTTGTTTAAACTATAGGAAAAGGGCAGCTAGGTGGTGCAGTGGATAGAGCACTGGCCCTGGAGTCAGGAGGACCTGAGTTCAAATCTAGTCTCAGACCAGATACTTGACACTTATTAGCTGTGTGACCTTGCACAAATCACTTGACCCCAATTGCCTTGCAAAAAAAATAAATGAATAAACTATAGGAAAAACCTCACAGATTAAATCCACTCAAACTTTTTGTGACTGTGAGACTGTCCCTGACTACTTTTCAGAAGTAGAAGGAAATTGTGACTTTATTCCAATGCTAGCCTCCCTTTTCTTCTAGGTCCAGTAAATCAGAATGGGTCAGTAAGTCAAACTGTGGCTTGTTTTCTAATGTAAGGTATTGTGTGGGGTGCAGGCAGCTCCCGAGGTCACCGTGAGGATCAAATGAGATGATCACAGAATCCTAATTCCAGAACTCGAAGGGACCTCAGATGCCCCATTTCAGACAGGAGGACACTGAAGACCCAGGCAGTAAAGTGACTTGGCCAAAGTCACCAGGGTAACGAGCGTCGAGCCTGGCACAGGACCTCGCTCCTCGCACCCTGAGCCAGTGCTCGCTCTTTGCTTTCCAAGAACTAGAAGATCACGGATGGAGAACAGGAAGGGCCCTCGGAGGGCCCTGGGCTCAACTCACTAAACTGCAGAAATAAAGTGAGGCCCAGAGCGGTGAAGCAAGCGAAGTGTCACAGGTGCTCTGTGCCTCTCCAAGAGTCAGATAAATATCACACAATTAGAGCCACAGTTCTGGGGTCCAGAGCAGCCATTTCCTAGTGGTTTTAACACAGGTGGGTAAATCCCTTAACCCCTCTCTGACCCAGTGTCTTCATCTGTAAAATGCAGATAATACTTCCACTCTCTGTATATGAAGACACAAAGGGAGACAATGCCATCAAGAAAGCAAAATGTGATTTTTCTAAAGAGACCAACAAAGACCCCCAGTGACTGTGTATGTTGTTCATCCCAACTGCAACACTCTCCACGTTTGTCTGACCCTTCCAGGCCCAGCAGGGCTGGTTTTTTCTTTCTTTCTTTCTTTCTTTTTTTTGTTTGGTTTGTTTTTGTAGCTGTTCATTTATTGGACCCAGATTTCATAATACATTATCAATTAAATAGTTAAAAACCACTTGAAATTACTTAAATTTCACACAATATAGTACTGAAAACAGTTTTGTCATTTTATTCTTTGGACCAAAGAAAAAAAAAACAAGTATTTTTCCCCCTAAGATGAGACACTTTCTCACACTAGAGATAAAAACTTGGGGAAAATGGCTTCAAGCGTGTTCATGATAAAAAGAAGTGCATGAAAGAGAGAAAATCATGAGGCAGGTCTCTAAAAGGAGGGAGATAAAATGCACTCCATGAGAAAGCAGCTCCTTGAGAACACCCCCCAGACAACATGGAGCTCTGCCTGACGCTGCAGCCCAGCTCCATCTCCAGAGGGTCAAAGGGCAAACAAAGCAGAACTGAAGACTCTGACTCACGTCAGGCAGACCTTTCTCAAACTTTACTTGCATGCATTGATTATACACGCTTTGGTCAACTGACATTTTCTTCTAATTGTCTCCAAAAAACAACTTCTTATCTTATTAGCTACCATTTTGTTCCTTAATCTTTGGGAGCATGCTCTGTCTCCCCAAGAGCCTCTAACCTCCCTGTCTCAGATACTTCTTTTCTCTTACATGGCTCCAAGCTGAGCAGATCATAAATTCTCAATAAACATTTGCTGACTATATCAGATTGTGTGCTGTCTTGGTGAGAAAAATTTAAAACTCAAAAGCTTATGGAAGTGATTGTTGATAAGCCAAAACAAATTAATAAACAATTTTAAGAAATGATGAAGGGCATTGTTTCAGAGAAAGCTGGGAAGACTTATATGGACTAATGCAGAGTGAAGAGAGCAGAACCAGGGGAACAATGTATACAATAACAACAACTTTGTAAAGACAAATAGCTTTGAAAGACTTAGTAACTCTTATCACTGTGATATTATCAACCATGATTCCAGAGGACTCATGATAAAACATGATCCACCTCCTAATGGAGAGGGGAAGGACTCAGGGTACAGAATATAAAACAAAATTGGAAGGGTGTGTGTGGCATGGCCAATGTGTACATTTGTTTTGCTTGACTATACATGTTTGTAATGGCTTTTGTTTTTCTTTAGTTCTCAACGTGGGGTGAGGGGTGGGGGGGGGAGTTGGAGGAGAGAGTGAGAAGGTGAATTTCTGCTGATTGAAAAAAATGTAATCCATAAGAAAGTTTCTAAAGGGATAGAAGCACACAACCAGACGAGACCTGTAAACACCAAAATCTGCTCTCACTTTTTGTCTTTGGTTATTTATTCCCCTAGATGCTGCTCAGATGTCAAGGATTAGCTGATAGAATCTCCCTCTCGCACAGAATACCCTCCAAAGGAAACAGTGTAGAGACCCTTTCTCTTTATCTTGTCTCTACTTGACTCTCCAAAGCCATGGATGATTTCAGACTATCAGATAAGCTCATCTCGGTCTCCTCCCGGCCATCAATTTCCCTCCCTACCCACGAGTTTCTGAGCTGTTTATCCCTTTTGAGTGTCAGAGAAGGCATGTTTACTTTAAAGATGACTCTACTATGTTGTATACAATTCTTTACTCTCGTACATTACTTGTACGTATTTCATAGCCCTCCTAACAAGCTATAAAATCTACAATCGCAGGGTAGTGTCTTTTTTTCTTTATCGTTATGTTTGGTAGTGATTACAGTGACTTGCACATAGTAGGTGATTAATAAATATGCTGAATTTACTTCGTTGTTAAGGTTTCTGTGAAAAGTAATGCAAAGCATTATGCAAATTGTAATGTCTCCATATTAACCTATCAGTCAACAAGCAATTATTAAGTACTCCATAGCTTAATCCCAGACATGTATGGTAAAATGGATTATTTAATTCCTCAGTACTTACTGCCACCAAAATCCAAAAGAATGTCACTGAAAGGTATGGGCCTGAAACTAATACATCCATGTTCAAAGCAATTATACCACCAAACACTGCAGAAATTCCAACAATTATTTCAATAACCTGAAAAGAAACAGAAAAATAAAATGTTAAGAGCTATAGTAAAATTCAGTGAGCATTTATTATGCATCTACTATGTGCAAGGCACTATGCCTGGTGTTCAGGATACAAAGACAAAAGTCAAAGTCTTGCCCTCATGGAGCTTCTTAGTCTACTGACAATTAAATACAAAATATATAACTCTAAAGGAATTTGGGGTAAGGTAGAACAAGGTTGGCTGGGGAGGTCAGGAAGAGAGTTCTTCCTATGGCAGGAGAAGGCAAACGTGGTGGGTCCAGGAGGTGAGCTGGCCTGGAGGTAGAAGAAAAGATATTCTGGGGTCATCTGCACAGAGCAGGGAAATGAACAAAAGCGAGGAGAGCAGAGGAGAGGAGAAGACAGGACAGGAAAGGAAAGGAAAGGACAGGAGAAGAGAGGAGCTAAGTTACACACAGACTTAACTGACTGTTGAGTTTTTGTTTCATTGGCTTTGCTCTGACTAATACTTAGAATTCCTATGATGTATTTTTGAGCCTGATACCATCAGAATTCTGCTTTTAATCGTGCACAACTTTAGGAACTCCTTGGAGTTACAAACTTCTGAACTGCAAGTCAGATGCTCTGATCCCACCTTGAGAGTTATCAAAAAATCCTGAGTACCTGTTAGCCCTACAGGCCAGAATCTCAGACACAAGCCCTTTGTCTATCCTACACAAAACTCTGGACTGACCAGAGCTTAAAAGTTGGAGCACGTGGTAACAAAAGTGAGAAAACATTTTTCGCTAAAAAATTTCCCCCTTTGCCTCCTCTACTATTACTAGCCCAGTTTCTGACCACCCTTGCTGCCAGAACAAAGTCCTCCCCCATGCCTTCCTTTGCTGCTGCTTCTTCCCACTCTGTATTCCACAGCCAGCTCTCCCCAGTCTCCTCGCCCATGGTAACAGGAGGCAGAAATAGAGAAAGGAAAACTGGGTCACTTTTGTCACAAGAGAAGCCAACAACAGTCACTGAAGCAGCAACACCAGTAGCTGCAACAGCAGAAAGAGCAGGTCTGGCTCTCTTTATTCCTCGATCAGACTGTAACTTGGCAACAATCAAGGGGAGGCTGGACTCCTGCCGGACACAGCACAGGCTCCATCCTCCCCATCCCTAGGCTTTCCTCCTCCCCATCCAATTCTTTGTCCTCACTGTTACCTCCAGTCCCTCTACCCTTCAGCACTGGGCCAAACCAACATTCCCACTCTGGTTACACTTTCCTTTCCACTGGCAAACTTTTAATGAAACAATTCACGTCTACACGGCAGCTATGCCCTCCCTCGGGGGAAAATTTCACTTCTTTCGTTATTGAAAACATCTACTATTCTCTGTGAGCCTCCTCTTCCTGTCTTCTCCCATACCCCTTAACACTGTCCTTCCCAACTCTCTTCCTCCTTTACTCCAGTCCGTGATGAGGAGAACCTTCTCCTCTCAAGCACAACCCATCTCTTCCCCCTCACTCTCTCCGACCGTCATGTCTCCATCTACTGCTTGCTGGTGACAGACACACCTGAGAAAACCAAACACTGATTTTATGATATATTTGATTCCATTCTGTGATTGATTTATTCTGTAACCACCTAAGCCATGTTTCTATGGTCACAAGTTCAGCTTTCCTCCCTCAGCTCAGTTGTCCCATACATCACCTCAATCCAAAGGAATACATTTCTGTACACATCTTACTGCCCACACACAACTAAGAGAGCACTGTTATCATCCTAAGGAGCCTGGCATATCCATGTACAATTTAGGGAGATGTTATCTCGCCAACAAGCCTTAAAAGAGGCAGGTGGGAGCCAGGAAGTCTTTATCTCTGCAACATTGGCTCTCCTTCAAGAAAGTCTGGTCTGTCATCATAGTAACACTAACTAGCCACGGAGGTGGAGCTTTCCATAACAACAAGATGGAAGGAGGGGTTGTTGCCAGCCCTGCATTCCAGACTTCCACTCAATCACATTGCTTTCTATCGTCCATGGTACTTCAGACTGCGATACTTCCTGCCCTTTGTTCTCCTGTACTTCCCAAAACTCTATGAAGGCTAGCAAGCCCCACCTCGTGGTCTTTCAGCTGGCTGAGCAGCCAAGAGAACCATTTCATTGGTAATTGCTAGCCTTAGCAATAAATTGAACATGCTCTGAACTTTGTGCCTCAGTTTACTTCAAATTTAACTGTGCCTCAGTTTACCTTAATTTCAATTGCAACACCCCCAAGTCGGCCCCATCCTTGGAAAAAACTAAACCACACATTGGATCCTGCCATCCCCACTAGCTTTCAACCTTTACCGAGCTAACCCTAACCCTAATCTCAACCCTCTCTTTCACAGACAAGCCATCTACACATGTCTTCCTTTCCCCTCACTCACTCATAAACACTCTGCTATCAGGCTTTCAATCTTATCGCTCAACTAAAATTGTTCTCTCCAAATGATCGCCTTATTGACAAATTCAATGGTCTCTTCTCAACCCTCGGCCTTCCTGACCTTACCTCTCTCTCTGATCCTCCACTGATTTATCGCACAAATCCCGCTCCCTAAGGGTGAGCAAGGCTCTGTCTGGGCCCCTTTCATCTTTTCTCTCAGCACTCTCACTTAGTGACCCCAGGCCTATTTTTCAGACCAAGGCTCTCTTGAACAACCGTGCTGCCTCACCAATTGCCTCATAGTCATTTCTGGTTGGCTGTCCTGTAGGGATCTCACACTTACGTCCAAAAGAGAATTAAACTTCCCCCAACCCCACCACTCTTCTGAACTTCCTTCCCCATTACTATCCATGACCTTGGTGTCATTCTCAATGCGTCCTGCTCACTCATTCTGCACAGCCAATCAGCAGCCGGATCTTGTCATTTCTGTCTCTGCATCTTTGCCCATGTCCCCTTCCTCTCCACACACAGGCCTGGACAAGTGCCCGCTGGTTGGACTATGTGCCATGCCTTTCCCCACTCCGGTCCTTTCACCACACAGATGCCAGGTGAGTTTCCTAAAGTGCACGTCTGACCACGTCGCCCCCAGTCCTCCTCAATGAACTCCAGCGGTAACCACTTATGACTAGGATCAAACCTAAAATCCTCTCTCAGCAGTTAAAGTCCCTCATGAAACGGCTCCTTCTGACTGTTACAGACGCCACACACAGGGATGCCCAGCCCTGCTGCCTATTCCCAATTCCATTCCCCAAATGCTCCTCCTTCTCCTGTCTGTCCCATACAGCCTAAATGTGCTGTCCTCTTCACTTTTACCTCCTGGAATCACTGGTACTACCTTCAGGACTGAGCCCAAGCATCGCCTTCTGCGGAACACCTTGCTTGGGCCCATGCCACTGCTGGTGCCTTCCTCTCCAAGGGCCCCATGATTCTGTTCTCCATGTGTCTGTGCACATATCCGTCCGCCAATAAAATGCAAGCTCTTTAAAGGCAAGGATGGCCATGCTCTATGCCTTTCTATTCTCAATTTTTATTTATTTAGTACTGGGTCTTAATAGATGCTTAACAAGCGCCTGTTAATTTACCAAATAAAAAAAAAACACCTCACCCAGCCCCGTACTAGAAAAACAATGCGAGGGCATGGCTGAAGAATTTAAGCTGAAAAGGACCATCCATCCAGAGCCATCTAGCACCATCCTCAGTAACACATCTGACAAGTGGCCATTCAGTCTCCACCGAAAGATTGCCAAGAAGGGGACAGCCCTTCCCCTCCAGGTGATGACTATGATGACAGACCAGACTTTCTTGAAGGAGAGCCAATGTTGCAGAGATAAAGACTTCCTGGCTCCCACCTGCCTCTTTTAAGGCTTGTTGGAGAGATAACATCTCCCTAAATTGTACATGGATATGCCAGGCTCCTTAGGATGATAACAGTGCTCTCTTAGTTGTGTGTGGGCAGTAAGATGTGTACAGAAATGTATTCCTTTGGATTGAGGTGATGTATGGGACAACTGAGCTGAGGGAGGAAAGCTGAACTTGTGACCATAGAAACATGGCTTAGGTGGTTACAGAATAAATCAATCACAGAATGGAATCAAATATATCGTAAAATCCAGATGATTAGTAACACGGTCTTACACCTGACAAACCCAGTGACCCCAGCCTCCTGCTGTCCTACGAAAAAGATTCTCCATCTCCCGGCTCTCAGCGTTTTACCTGGCTGTCCCCCAGGCTCTTCCTGCCCCGACTCTACCCCCGCCTTCCTGCGAGTCCCAGCCAAAGTCTCCCCTTCGGCTGGGAGCCTTTCATACTAGCGCCCTCCATTGGAGGTCATTTCCAATGGATCCTGTCCGTGTCCTGCTGGAACTCAGGTGTTCTCACGTTGTCTGAGAGCTCTTGGAGGTCAGGGATTGAGTTTTTGCCTTTCTTTGCATCCCCAGGGCCGCGCGCAGTGCCTGACACATAGCAGGCGCCGACTGATTCATCTCTGTACACAACATATAGTCTCTTCAGAGGGGCAGAGGGCTGCACTGCTTTACAGATGGAAAACCTGCCCCCAAGCACCGATTCTAGCATGTCCCCAGAGAACAGATGATCCCAGGCAACACACTATACCTCTTTCAAGCTCAATTTTCTCCTCTACAAAATATTTCCCCTTGCATGACCCCATTATCTCATAGGACTGCTGTGAAAAGCCATTTGAGAAATCTAAAACACTGTGCATATAAAGAAGTAGGTGCAGGTACACTCTGGATACTTACTAAGCAGTGCTGTTGGCAGTTAGGTGGTATAGGCCTGCAGTCAGGGAAGACTCATCTTTCTGAGTTCAAATCCAGCCTCAGACACTTACTAGTGTGTGACCCTGGGCAAGTCACTTAACCCTATTTGCCTCAGTTTCCTCATCTGTAAAACGAGCTGGAGAAGGAAATGGCAAACCACTCCAGTGTCTTTGCCAAGAAAACCCCAAATGAGGTAAGTAATAGAAAGCTGGACACAATTAAAAACGAGTGAACAACAGCAACCAGAGCTGTGCTGGCAGATGTTTAACAACTGGCTTTCTGGCAATATAGCCCAAAGGACTATAAAACTGTGCGTACTCTTTGATCCAGCAATAAGACTGCTAGGTCTACATCCCAAAAAGATTTTTTTAAAAAGGGAAAAGGACCCACATGTACAAACATATTTATAGTAGCTCTTTTTGTGGTGGCTAAGAATTAGAAACTATGGGGGTGCCCATCAGTTGGGGAATGGCTGAACAAGTTGTGGTATATGATTGTGCTATAAGAAATGATGAGCAGGATGATTTCAGAAAAACCTGGAAAATCTTATATGAACTGACGCAAAGTGAAGGGAGCCGAACCAGGAGAATGTTGTATACTGTAACTCAAACACTGTCCAATGAAGAATTATGAACGACTCAGCTCTTCTCAGCAACACAATGACCCAAGACAATTCCAAAGGACTCATGATGAGGCCAACTACCTGTCTGCAGACAAATAACTGATATTGTCTGAATACAGACTGAAGCATACTATCTTTTTTTTTGGCTAGGCAATAGGGTTAAGTGACTTGCCCAGGGTCATACAGCTAATAAGTGTTATGTGTCTGAGGCTGGATTTGAACTCAGGTCCTCCTGACTCCAGGGCCTGTGTTCTATCCACTGCGCCACCTACCTGCCCCTATCTATCTTTCTTTTCTTTCTTCCTTGTTCAATTCTTCTTGTACATAATGACTAATATGGAAATGTTTTACATGATTGCACATGGATAACCTATAGCAGACTGCTTACCATCTCAGGGAAGGGGGAGGGAAGGGACGGAAGGAGGGACAGAATTTGGAACTCAAAACTTTTTTTTAAATGTTAAAAATTGTTTTAACATGTAATTGGGGAAAAATTAAAATATTATTTAAAAACAAAAACAAACAAAAAACTGACTCTCGGGGCGGGGGTATACAAAAGACACCCTTTCAAGTTTAATCCACACTGTTAATATTTTCTCCATCTTTTTAAGTCTAAAGAATCAACCAACCATCAAGTTAAGCCCTGGTTTGTAGCATTTGCTGATTCCAAGGTACGGTGCCCTGAGCTGGGGTGAGCTGGCTCCAGCACACCACCATTGGCACTTTCTCTAGCTGTGAGATGTGAGGCTGGCATGGTTTCCTAACATCTTAGTTACATTCAAGTTCTGTACAGAGGGAAAGTTGCAGACATACGGCTTAAAGAATTTAGTGTTCTATTAATTACAATGGTTTTGAAGGCTTATAATGAATTGGATGAGGCAAGTTTCACAAACCAGTGGCTTGGCTTGGGATCAGCTACATCACAAATGCAAGATTTACACATCACGGCACCATTTTCTTTTAACAAAGGATTTTCAGCATTGACCCTCCCTCCCATTTAATACCCTTAAGAGAAAGTTTTTCTTACTGAATAGGATTTCAGGACTCGAGTAGGAAAGGTTACACTGTTCAAAATGCTGGAACTATTACATATGGCATTCTAAAAAGAAAATAAATAAGGTCAAGAAACCACATTGTTTATTACATCGGCATTGGCACAGGTAGATGGAGGCCAGGCTCATTCTGGATCTCCAGTCCTTGCTGAGAGAGCCAGGACAGAGTTTTGTTACCTAGAATGCGCAGAACAAAGCTTCCTTACTTCATGGAGCTGTTGAGAAATAGAACGTGTCAAAGTCGGTAGAGAAACATTAGGCCCAGGAACAAAAGAGCCTGAGAAATGTTCCTAATTCCTTATGATCCCTCCATTAAGGAAAGCCTTTTTGGGTTACTTTGGCTTACTGAGGCTGCTGATAACTGAAGGCAGAGTTCTTCCAGGAGCTTAAAGAACCAAATTCTTAGCAGTGAAAGGGTGGGTCCAACCTCTAAGAAAGATAGGAATCGCTTCTCTACCCACCTCATCAGTCATCCAACTTTTGCTTTTAGACTTACTATGACGGGAAACTCATTACCTCTTGAGGCAGTTCATGCTGTTACAAGTAGATCTAACCACTTCTCTTCCAATCAGCATGCTCTAAGCTCCTTTATTTACAGCAAAGCTTGGCATAGGGACCTGCCCTCCCTACTGCACCTGCCACACAAAGACAGACACGGCAGCTAGCGCTGCTTGAAGAAGAGTCACCAACTCCCAGGCCTTTCTAAAGACCCTGGGTCAGTCAGTCAATAACCATTTGTTAAACTCCTCCTCCTACTACGTGCCAGACACCGTGCTATGTGCTGGTTCTTGCCATTCTTACTGCAATGGGCAGGGCTCTCCATCCGCCCCGCAGTCGAATCCTCCCACCCATGTGGACTCCCCCAGTAGAATGTGAGCTCCATGGGAGCAGAGACTATATATCGGTTTTCTATTTGCACGCCCAGAGCTCAGCATCATGCCCAACAGATAGCAAACATTTAAAACTTTTTCTTTTCATTCACACAAAAGGCACTTCATAAAAGTTTGTTAAATTGAATGGTTAAAAAAATTCCTTTCCCATACTTAACTATAATCTTCCCACAAATCCCTCTCATTGGTGCCAACTCCGTGAAGTTACCTAGTTCCTCCTCAACACTCTTATTTCCAGGCTAACCAGCTCCTGATTTTGAATTGACGCCATAATTTTGAGTCCCCTCGACATCTTGGTTGCCTTCCCGCGGCCATGCTCTAGCTTTTCAATGTATTTCCTAAAATTCGTTGCCCAAAACTGGACACGAAGCTCCAGATTTTGTCTGACCAGGGAAGAGGACCATCAGTCTGTTACCTCCGCCATTCTAAACACTACATGTTTGTCAACAGGGCCAAAAGTGGCATTGCTTTTGGGCTGCCATGTCTTCCTGCTGCCTACAGCGAGTCTTCAGCACACTGAGACCCCAGGACCTATTTCACTCAAACTCCCACCTTGCCACATTTCATGGATTGTTTTTAAGAAGATAAGTAGGGTTTCTCCACACATACAGGCAAAAACCTTCCTATTCATGAGCAGATGGCTCTTCACGACTATCTGACCTACACGATTGATCACCTGATGGCCCATGAGCTGTTTCCCACCCAGTCTAACTGGTCCTTCCTTGGGTGACTGGTCTCTGTGCAAATCCTTTCTAGCCTGGGACGACCTGCCAGGGTTTGCATTTTGCAAACACAGGCTTCAAGAGTCCTGAATCCTTCCAGGCCACAGATAGGATTTCAGTGGATGACTTTATACATTATCACTATTCGTTTTCATCAAATACTGGACAGTTTTAAAGACACTGCTAAGAACATGTACAACTGAGAAAGGAGGAGGGCCAGTCATGAACAAGAATGATCAGACAAGGTATGAACAGCCCAAATACTTTATGTGTGTAACCCAGCATTTTGAAAGGACCAGTTCTGAAGGTCTCCAGGATTTGGGGTGGATCTTCTATGGGAAGCTTAGGGGAAAATCATGTACAAAAACCACACATGTTTCTAAGTTTTTACTTAAATAAAAACAAAATATTATGTCTGAGCTCCACTTATAAAATGATATGTAAAGATCATATGAAAAAATAAAGTCAGATTTCCACAAAAAGGTGGAGGATGTTAATTAATCATTTGGGAAACCTTAAAAATGAAAATAGTATGAATGACACAATTTGTATGAACAAACTTACCTTCTTTCTTTTACAACATTCTTCATTAGATCTTGCAGAAATAATCACTGTAGTTGCCATCAAGATTTCTAATAGAATTAGCAGAATCAAATTGAAATTTATCTACCAAGAAATTGATAATGAAGTAACATTACTCTTTTGAAAAAACCAAATTTCTCTAAAATAATTACGTATATATCTCCTCTAAGGTTAACACTCTTATAAAATTATGGGTTCTGGGGCAGCTAGGTGGCACAGTGGATAGAGCACTGGCCCTGAAGTCAGGAGGACCTGAGTTCAAATCCGGCCTCAGACCAAACACTTGACACGTACTAGCTGTGTGACCCTGGGCAAGTCACTTAACCCCAACTGCCTCACTAAAAAGAAAAAGAAAGAAAGAAAAGAAATTATGGGTTCTTTTAAGAGTATCTAAATACATTTTCTTTAAAGAAACAAGTATTAAGTACCTACTATGTGCCAGGTCTTGCGCTAAGTGCTGGTAGTGGGCATGTAATGTTTGCTGACTACTGTTGATTTTCCTCTATTAAAAGAGTTTATAAGCTGAGGCTGGATGGGCACCTGTGAGGAATGTTCAGTTCAGCAAACAAAAAAGCTGAGTAGGTAGGCAGAGCAGGCTACCCAAGGCACTGAGGACACAAAGACAGAGCATAAGCCAATCCCTGCCCAACAAGAAATGCTCAGAGGAATAGGGGACTGAGACACACGGACAAAGAGCGAGAATTCGAGTTAGACTGTGATAACATGTGCGCAGAAATCAAACAGAAAGAGGTAAAGATCTGGAAATGAATGAAAACACTAATGAGTAATAGTGCAATATGCTTTACCCACACAGACACAGACATCACACCCACACCCACATGCACGTGCACACATCTCCAACTGATCCCGTCCTATGGTGCAGCTGGCTCAAAAGGGCAGGGCACCATTCCCACCCTGTGGGGAGGACACCAAGGGATGCCGAACTCTCCTCTTCTTTCTCCAAAAGGGCAGTGGGGCCCTGGAGAGGAAAGGAATGCCTTCTGCTGCTGCTTCACCCAGACAGCTCCTGGCCCCGCTCCTCTCCTTTTGTGCTTAAAAAGAACAATTTGCAAGAGACTCATATCATCTTAGTTTATAGCCTATTATACACTACAGGCTAATTAATTGCTCAAGTAGTTCAAGCCAATATAATAAAAATGACAAAACTACCTAAATTAATTTATTCAGTGCCATACCAATCAAACTCCCTAAATAAATTTAATAAAGCAAGGAAAAACAAAACAAAAGAAAACAAAATTCACCTAGAGGAAGAAAACATCAAGAATCTCAAGAGAAATAATGAGAAAAATGAGAAGGGCCTAGTAGTGCCAGATCTCAGATTCTACTAAAAAGCAGTAATCATTAAAAACAATTTAGTATTGGTTTTTAAAAAAAAGTTTGATTAGTGGAAAAGATTTGGTACACAATATACAGAAGCAAACAGACACAGAATGTACCTTGTTTTATAAATCCAAAGACTCCATTTACTGGGAGATGAGGACTACGATTTGACTAAAATTGCTTGGAAAACTGGTTAACAGTCTGACAGAAATTAGGCTTAGATCTACACCTCATACCATAGAACAAGATAAGCTACAAATGGATACGTGATTTTGATACAAAAAGTCACATCCTCAAGAAATTAGAGAAGCAAGAAAGAAATCACTTTTTCCATCTATACAGAGGTGAAGATTTCCTAGGTAAACAAGCCACAGAGAGGCTCTTACAAGATAAAACGGACAATTTTGGTGACATGAAATTTAAAAGTTTTGGCACAAACAAATCTAACAATAAAAATGAGAAGAAAAACAGGTAACCAGGGAAAATCTTTGACATTTCTCTAATAAAGTTCTCATTTTCTAAGATACATAAAGAACTAATACAAATAAATAAAACTAATAAAAGCTGTTCCCCAATATGTAAATGGTCTATGAGCAGGCAGTTTTCAAAGGAAGAAATCAAAGTTATCTATAAACCGTGGGAAGGGACGCTCTACATCACCAATAATTAGAGAAATGGGCTTTTAAATGACCTTGAAGTCCTACTTCACACGTACCAGATCGTCAAAGAGGACAAAGGAGGGACATGACCGGTGTGGGAGAGGCTGGGAGAAAACAGGCGCATTGAGGCACTGCTGCTGGAACTACAAGGTAGTCTGCAGCCATTTGGGAAGGCCATTTGGAACTGCACCCCCAAGGTTACCGAACTGTGCATACTCTTCGACCCAGCTATCCCCCACTAACAAAACTACATTCCAAAGAAAAAAGAAAAAGTTACATCACGCACAAAAAATCTGTACCAGTTATTTTCACGGCAGCCAGAAATTGGAAACTAAGGGAATATCTACTTGTTGAGGAATGGGCAAGGGTGTGCTGGTAAAAGTTTAACAATCAGCTCTCCTGAAAAAAAAAAGCATGCATGACACAGTTTTAAGTTTAATCTTCACCATCAATAATTTCTCCATCACTTTTATTCTATAAATCAATCAATCAATAACACAGTAAATCAAGCCCCGATTTATAGCATTGACTAATTTCTAGGGATAAAAGCTCACAATGAAAATTTAATCATTGGCTCTCATAGGCCAGCATGAGTTGGTCCTTGCACAATCCTGGGAATGACCAAACAAATTGTGCCACATGAATGTAGCTGTGCCGGAAGAAATCATGAAACGGACAATTTTAGAGGAAATTGGGAAGACCTTTACAAAGCAATGCTGAAATGGAACCAAAACAATTTCTACAATACTAACATTTGAAAGAAAAACAACTTTGAAAGACTCTAAAACTCTGTTTACCACTAGACGACACCCTCCCAGCCCTCGCCTCCCTACTGAGGCGCTGAATTAAGATGCAAAAAGAAACAAATGGTTTTGGACGTGCATAATGTGGAAATTTGCTTCGCTCAACTATGTAAAATATGGACTGAGGGATTTATTTTAGGGACAGTTTTTGCTTTTGTCCTTGTTTTTAATTTACTCAAGGGTTAACTGCAGGGCTAAAAATGGACCCTGGGGAAGGGATAGACTAATGAACAATACTAATTACTTAGGGGGAAAGGAAGTATACTAGATAAATAAAAGAAAAACAAAACTTTTTTTAAAATCTAATATAATACATACCTGTGTATGCATGCATGTATTATGTAAGTATGTAAGTTACCTCTGGGGCCTGTCTCACTGCCTAACGTGGAGCCGGCTATCTCTGCCCTGGCAACCTCAGAGCCAGGAGCAGCATTGCAGCTGTGCAGCAGCCAGCTCCCAAGCATGGAGACCCCCAAAAGCCAAGGGGCCAGGGGCTTGAGCCCCAGGGCGGGGTTGGAGATAGACTGGGACTGTGCTCTAAGGGAACCTAATCCCCTTCCCCTCCCTGGAGAATGAAGTGGTACAGAGGGCACGGAAGATTGTGCCTCCTATGTGTTAGGAGAGTGTGTTTGTATATTTATGATTATCTCTGGAAGTAAAGATTCCTTCTCTCTAACAGCTTCACTGGATTACACATACAATGTAATTTCAGAATCTGAAGGACAGTAGTGACTGGGCAGATCTGGATAGGCTTCCTGTAGGAGAAGGCACTTCAGGCCACAGGAGGCATGACTAGATGAACAGGGGATTTAATGGACTGAGAGAGCATAACACGGCAAAGAAGTTGTTATGACCCTAAACTGCACAGAAGGAGGCCTGGCCTCCAGAGTGAGGGCAGAGATATCACGTTCTTCTAAAGCACTGCTCTGATTAGACACATCTCAAGGATTTTTTGTTCCGGGGTTTAAGACGGGCATTGACGGGCCAGAGAAAGCTCAGAGCTGAGTGACTTGGATGATGAAAGGGCTGGACATCATGCCATCTGCTGTGTGCAGGAATGATAAACCTGGGAAAAGAAGGCTGAGAGGGAACCTGGCAAATGTCACAGAACACGTGAGAAGATGAGCTAGCTTGCTTGGTTCAAGAATGAATGAGCAGAGGAGGATTGCTAAAGGCTTCCAACGTTGCAGGGACTGTGGTGCTAAGCGTGAGGAACACAGGTACAAGCAGAAGGAAGCCAGCTCCTGCCTGCTGGGAGCGCCCATTCTCACGGGGTGACGACACATGCAAGGCCAGGAGGAGATGCCTGCAGGGGCACGGTGGAGAGAAGAGCCCTGAGAGGAATGAAGGAGCCCCCACGGCTGTGACTGGCCCAAGAACCTTCCTAAAAATGCAGGGTCCAGGACTTCCTGCCCAATCGGAGGAAGGGGTTGCCTGGCCGAGGAGTCTTCTAGGCTGAGAAGGTCACTAAGGGCCAGGAGCAGAGGCCAGCACCGATCAAGCCCTTCCTGCATGGCAGCCCCTGATTTCAAAGAAATCTCTGTACTCTTGTACTCTGATATGGGGAGAGACAAGGCACAAAGGGGAGCTGGGGTGGAGTGGAGTGGGGAGCTGACAAGAGATGCTGTGGCAGAAGTGACTTAGTTCTGGCCTGATCAGAGTGCAGCAAGCATCTCAGGAGCGGAATCCAAGGTTGGGGGAAGGAGGCAGCGCAGAGCTAAGGACGCCGGCGGGAGTGCAGGCAGCACGGCGTGGATCTGGCCAGGAAGTGGCAAGAACAACGGGGCGCCAGCGCAAAGCTGTACGGAAGCCCTCCTGACCGTTAGATTGGGAGGGCAGCCCCTTGCAGGCACCACTGGAGAACGGATCCCTGCTCAAGCACAGGGTGGACAAGCTGACCTCCGGGGTCCCTTCCGACTCAGAGATGCCATGATCCTGTGACAGCCTCCACTGGCGAGGACGTGCCTCGCTTGCATTCACAGGGTAGTCACCCGATCCACAGAACAAGCAAAAGGAAGAGGCAGCAGGTGGTAGATGGTGCCTGTTATCTGCTACTCTTCCTCATCACCTCCCCAAAGTCCCGAAAGGTCTGATTTCCTCTCCCGTCAGCGCTCTCCCCCTGCCCAAATGACCTCACAGTTACCTCTCTGGGCACACGCTGTGCCCCAGCAGACTGTAAGCTGCTTGGGGAGCAGGATTGTTTGCTTTTTCTCTGCCCATGCCTCGTATGTGGCACAGCGAGGGCATTTGAGGGGAAGGGGAAAAGGGCAGGCATTTACTGAGGGCCTATCGTACTGCAGGCTTTGTGCTAAGCGCTTTATAAATATTATCTCACTTGATCTTAAGCAACAGCCCTGTTAGGGAGGTAGAACGATGATCCCTATTTTACAGTTTTTACAACTGAGGAAACTGAGGCAGGCAGGGGTTAATTGACTTGCCCAAGGTCACACAGCTAATGAGGATAAGGGGATCGATTAGAACTCAGGTCTTGGTGAGTCGAGACTGGCACACTACCCACTGTGCTACCTAGCTTACAAAATGTTCATTGCTGAAGTGAACTGAATCTAGGAGCTACTTACTGTCCTCAACTTCAGGTGGTTTCTAATAACAGCCTCCAAAATTACGGGGTCCCGTGGGACTGCAAAAGTACCAGATGTTGTTAAGACCGTTCTAAAGTCAAACCACAGCCCCTGAATCCAGCAGGAAGTGGCCCTAGCCCCCCAAGCCCCCAGCCCCACTTCCAGAAGTTCAGGGTTGAGCTGGCTGCAGTCGGAAGGAGGCTCGGTCCTGCTGGGGGGCTTCTTCTGCATCCCTCTGACAGCCTGCCTCTTGGATCTAATACCCTCTGGTGCCAAATTAGTAACTACCAACAAAGACATTCAAACCAGCATCCACAACAAGAGACACATGACTGTGCTCTCTACTAAAAATCAACAGTGCCCAACGTGAAGCTCTCCCGGCTCCCACAGCTCAGGGCGTCTCCAGCCAGCCCAAATGACCTGGCCTAGACCTGGTTGTGGACACGTTGTTTCCCCAGCACACAGTCAGCTCCTTGTTGACAGGGACTCTCACTTTTTACAACTGTGATTTTATAATGGCACCTAGCATAATGTGTGGCACACAGTAGGCACTTAACATTTGTTGGTTTGTTGAAAAATACTGTAAAAATAATATTTCAAAAACTAAATTCAACATCTATTTACTGAATACCTGAGCTACTGAATGTTTGTCTATGCTGAGGTGAGACAAGCAAAAGATAAGCAAAAACGTCCCCAAACCCTAACGTGGGATAGCACTACCTACACGCTGTGCCACAGGGGCTTACGTGGCATTAGCAGCATATCCTGTGTAAGAGTAGTATTAGGAAAAGTATTTGTAACTCCTCACTTTTAAAGCAACTCACATTTATTGCTGATGGATTCAGGACAAGTTTACATCCAAACCAAACTAAACATGTTGTTGTGACGGCAAATGTCGAAACAAACAAAATCTGAAAGTTTGGGATCTGAAAAACAGTGAACAATAACAGTGCTCTTCTTTAATTGGCTAAAGAATGAAAGATCATGAGAAAAACAAATTGGAGCCATAATTCTCAGTCCTTTTTGTAGGATGCCTCCATCTCTTTCCAAAAATTCCAAAGGTTATCATATAATTTTTTTAAATCCTAAGAGAGCTGTAATCCCATAACCAAAGTTCACCTTAATTATGGAGGAAAAATTGGATAAATAGATAGATAAACAAATACATATATATATATATATAGTGAAATGATCGATATTAATTCTGTATCTTTTTATATTGATCTGATTTACAAATAATTGATTTTGGCTTGTCAATTGCTTGAGTCATGGGTCTTTGTCTCCAAATTTGGATCAAAATTCAGCTGGTCTATAACAGGGCAAGTTTAAAAATCCAGCTCTCCTGCTCATCACTGATCTATTCTTGCCTCTGGGAATGTAGCTGACCTTGGGGGATTCATGTAAACAAAGGAGTCAGGGTCTAATATCTTTATACCACCATGCCACCCTTCAAAGGTTCTGGTTTGCTATGGAAAAGTCTGGCCGGCTATCCTGCACCTGGACTCAATGAGCCCTTCTCGGTCTCAAGAGAGGAGGAGTGGGGCTTGCTACCCCCATGACCAAACTTCTAGCCAATCATGTTCTCTGCATCTCAGCTCTATAACCAATCACATTTCCCGACACCCTGTGATGGCATCTACTCTGCTCTGCCCTTTTTTCTCTACTCCCCCAGACCTACAAAAGGGCAGCTGTCTGTCTGCTCGGAGTCTTTGGCATAAATCAAGACAAGCCACTGACCCATTTATTGACAAGCAGCCTGCCCCTGCTAATAAATGCTAACTTGTGCAGAGAATTGCCTCAGTTTACCTTTGTTAAATTTCACCCATAACAATAATCATTAGAACATAAGCTCCTGGAGGGCAGCGGATGCTGTTTCTGTCTTTCTGCTGACTGTCGTGCAAATAGATGACACTTAATAAATGTTTGTTGGATTTGTTTATCTATCTATTTATCCAGTTTTTCCTTTTATGAAATACCCATGCTGGATCGATTTCCCTTTTGAAGAGGCCTGGAGGTTCAGGGAGGGAACAGTCTAATCTACAAATGCAAGTGTGATGGGGGGATAGGGAGAGGCTGGGAGGAGGAAGAGGAGCTGAGAGGGAAAGGTAGATGGAGGCAGGGAAGGCCCCAGGAAACCATCTTAGTGCCTCAGTTATAGTCCAAGTTGTGCAATGAATAAGCTCTGGGACCTCTGGAAAACATCTGTGCTTCAGTTTCCTCATCCGTAAGAAGAGGAGGAAGCCAGACCAAGAGATTTCTCAGGCTCCTTCTAGCTCTAAAATCAGAGTCCCGGTACACAGGCCACCCAATACTTTTAGGAGAGGATGTTCTCAAATCAAATCCAAGCCAAATCAACCAGCAAGTGTCATAGCTCAAAAGCTAGCGTCATAGCTACAGATACTCACCGCGTTCACCTTGTTTCGTGCTATAGCAAAACTCACAATGGCTGAAGGAATGCACTGAAAAATCAAAGGAAAAGATGAAGCAGATGCTTCACTAATAAGAACATCAAATTAAATGTTTAGGCTTTTCCGGGATGGAGATGAAAATTGTACAAATTAGGAAAACCATTCTGCACTCTGGCATGCCTTTAGACATACAAAGTGAAGGCGATTTAGTACAACTCAGTGTGTTCTAGAGCAGGTGCTGAGGACCTGGGCCTCGAGGCCACATGTGGCCTTCTAGGTCCTCGGGTGTGGCCTTTAAACTGAGCCCAAGTTTTACGGAACAAAGTCTTTTATGAAGGGGATTTGTTCTGTGAAGTTTGGATTGAGTCAAAGGGCCACACTTGAGGACCTGGAGGCCACATGCGGCCTCAAGGCCACAGGTTCCCCAACCCTGGTCTAGAGGAATATTAGCCACATGAAATTTCACAAACATACCTGTTTGTGAGTGCCTACTCAGGCAGATGTTGCCACATGTTTCCATTTAATTCAGCTAATTCACCGAGTATCTCCTGAATTCCTCCCTGTGCATGGCACAAAGGCATCTCCTTCTCTCAAGGAGATTACAACATAGCCAGAGAAATAAGAAACATTCTTAAAATTCACCCACTGTGATTCAATTCAAAAACTATTTATCTATATGCCTAAAAATGACAGACACTGTGGATTCCATGTTTAAAGAAGGAAAATGATTATTTATGCCCTCAAGGGGCTTCACTACATTGGAAGGGACAGACACAAAAAAGAACCTGATACTATCCTGCAACCTCATTTGGCGTCTATACTGCAGCAGTGAGGCACGAGGGAACAAGTAAGGAAATCAAAATACTTCATTTGAAAAGTCCAGAGCAGGATTTCTCAAATTTTCCTTACTGGTAGAGAAAGGCAGTGATTTTCTTCCTAGGGAAAATACGGCAAAGATTTCCCGTCTTTTGGTCTTTTTCTTTTTTACCAGCTCAATCCCTAAAATGGGCACAGAATAGAAGGGGCAGGTTGGGGGCTGAAACCGTTCTCTTCAAACACCCTCAGCATTTCACTGCATGCCTTGGGAGTGATCTATTGTGAGCTGGGCACGAGAGGAGCTAAAAGAGATTTCCCAGTCAGAATGCAGGTAAGGGCTAGCTCAGGTATTTGTTTTTCTCAAGAATGATGCCTCCCTTAATCTCCCCGTTCTCTAGTTCCCCGTCTACCCTCCCATTTCCCTGTTAAGTGGCATGAATTTTGGTGCCCAACCATGTGTGTCTCTGTGTGTGTGTGTGTGTGTGTGTGGGTGTGTGGGTGTGGGTGTGGGTGTGTGGGTGTGGGTGTGGGGGTGTGGGTGGGTGTGGGGGTGGGTGTGGGTGGGTGTGGGGGTGTGGGTGGGTGTGGGTGGGTGGGTGTCTTTGGTTTTGAGCATTCTTCCTTCCTTTCATCAGTTCAGGTGAGAATAAGGTTCAAGCATCAGCCTCCCACTTCCTCCCTGGTTGTAAGGAGGTCTAATTTCATACCCTGATGAAGTGAGATGATTTTCTGAATCTTTTCCCCCTCTCCCTTCTCCCTCTCCCAATATATTCCTCTTTCCCTTTTCATTCATCTATTAAGATCACAAGATAGAAGGGCAGTTAGGTGGTGCAGTGGATAAAGTGCTGGGTCTGAGGAAGACCTGAATTCAAATCCAACCTCAGACACTGACTAGCTGTGCGACCCTGGGCAAATCACTGAACCCTGACTGCCTCAAAAAAAGAAAAAATCAACAATAAGATATAACAGAACTACTCCTAGATTTCCTCTACTACCACTAACGATTGGGTTTGGAGGAGATACGTGTCACCTCCCCATATGAAAATGTAAGCAGTCGCCCCTGTTTAGTCCTTTACCATTTCACTCATGTTGACCTTTTCGTGTTTCTCTTTTTTTTTTTCTTTTAGGCATTTGGGGTTAAGTGACTTGCCCAGGGTAAGTGTCAAGTGCTTGGTCTGAGGCTGGATTTGAACTCAGGTCCTCCTGACTTCAGGGCCGGTACTCCATCCGCTGTGCCACCCCGCTGCCCCTCATGTTTCTCTTGATTCCTATGCTTGAGCTTCAAAGTTTCTACATAGCTCGGTCCTTTCATAGGGAATACTTGGAAGCCTTTTATTTCATTAAAGGTGGAATCACACGTGGTTTTGCCAGGCAATTAATTCTTGGTTGTCAACCTGTATCTTTTGCCTTCTGACTATCCCATTCCAAGCGGGCCACACCTCGGAGGCAGTGGCTGCTAAATCATATGCGATGCTGACCGTAGCTCCTCAGCCCTAGAATTTGTTCTTTCTGACTGGCTGCAGTATTTTCTCTATACTTTGGCTACACTGTTCTGGGGAGTTATCATTTGGGGGTTTCTTTCAGAAGGTGAGCAGTGGATTCCATTTCTCCTTTGTCCTCTGGCTCTAAGAGATCTTTTAGATCTCCTTTTGGTCACAGCATTTCCCATCTAGCTGCTTGTCTTCATAACCAGCATCTTCTGGACTGATCTGATCACCTCCCTTCTCAGCACCTCCAGCCCCTGGGGCCTCTGCTTCTCTCTGGTCATCTCCTTGAGGGGGCCCAGGGCACCTCCCAGCAGCAGGACCACAGGACTTTCCCAAGCCTCCTGGCTGACTGGGTGTTATTCTCTTCTGTTAGACTGTGAGTTCCTTAAGGGCAATCACTGTCTTTTGCCTCTCTTTGTATGCCCAGCACATAGCACAGAGGTTGGCACACAGTCGGTGCTTAACAAATGTTTGCTGATTGACTAGTCTGATGATTCTCAAATTTTCTCCCTACTGTCTGGGAAGAGGACTGATCTTGGAATCAGAGGCCTGAGCTTTGGGCTGCCAAGCCTTGGTGACTGTGGACAAACCATGGCTTTCTCTGACCTTCAGCTCCCTCCCTTGGTAAAATGGAGCTGGTAATACTACACTCCTCTTCCCCACTTGGCAGGACCGATTTAAGCCAATTCTAAAGCACGACCAGAGCTAATCCATGAGCTCCCATGATCCTCATGTCCCTTCCTGAAATGAAGGCCGGCCTTCTCAACTGAACTGTGCATAGTTCTCAAACTCACATCCTTGTGATTCTTTTGAGATTATAACTATGATTCCAAGCTGAAAGGAACAGTACCTGGATTTTAGTGAGGAAGCACATTCCGTGTAATTTAAAGATTATAGAACCAGTCAGTCTAGCAAGTTAAGAGGCTGTTTCTAGAATTCACCTTTAAAGGGAGAGAGTGGGGCTCAATGACCCCCAAGGTCTCTTCCAGATCTAATCTATGATCCTATGATCATTTCAGTCAACAATAAAATGAAGCAAAAGCAGAGGGAATGTACTTTAGAAGAAATAAAAAAACACCAGTCTGGAAATTCAAGAGTGAAGTAATACAAAAGCCCAAGGGATTGTGTTTTGGCAGCATAAAAAGTACACAATTAAGAATTTTGCTTACTGAACCTGCTGCACAGCGTAAATAATCCATTTCAGAAGGGAAAACATTTCCCAGGTAAAGTGAAAAGCCAGAAGTGACAAGAAGGCAACTCTGCAAAACAGAAATACAAATTAAGATTAAGGCTGAGACTGGGAAAAATAAAATAAACCCCAAAAGCCCAGCTAACTAGATAGTCAGGAAAGGAGTAATTTTTTGAAAGCACAACACTTGACTAGTGTTTGGTTAATATTGAAGGAGGCCATCAATAGACTCGAGTAGCCAATGACCAGGTTTCTGGAGCTTCTGAGAACCATTGTAGAGATCTGAACTAAGAGAGTGAATTGGTTTGGCACGTGTATAGGTACCTGCAAAACTGACAAAAACATTTTGAGTTCAGAAATTTTGAGAAAGAGCCTGAGGTAATTTAAAAGGGTAAAAAGAATTTTTTGGAACAAGATGCCTTAAGAGTGAAAATTTTGTATAACTTAGTAACTGCTAAAGCCAAAAAAGTAAGACGAGAGGGGCAGCGTGGTGGTGAAGCCCTGGAGTCAGGAGGACCTGAGTTCAAATTCGGCCTCAGACACCTATTGGCTGTGTGACCCTGGGCAGGTCACTTAACCCCCATTGCCTCCAAAATCAAAACAAACACAATCAAGTAAGAGTAGGAAGGGTCGTATTGTATCTTAAAGAAATTCTAACGAATATGGAGTCTCTGTTTAAAGTATATGGAAAACAGAGTCTGCACAGCGAAGCTGTTATTCGCTAAGTAAAGGAAGCATATTTTTCCCACGTGGATAATTGCTTCTCCTAGGCACTAACTGCTATGGAATTGACAGGATGATGGGGTTCCTTACCATATAGTTCTTGATGTGGCCAGGATATATAGCAGAGCCTCCTCCCTCTACCAAGCCCTCTCTCACTGGAGAGAAATGACTGGATCCAAGCTGGCTGGATCTTGGCTAATGACTGACTACACCCTAGGACCATACGTATAAGTATTTTGTGCTAGCTTTATACATTTGAATTTTTATATGGAATTATCTGCTATAAAGTAGGTTATGGTCTCTAAGGCAACCAAATTTTGTTTTCTGCCATCAATAAAGAAAGCTAATGGTAATGTTAAAAAAAAAAGTCCCAAATACTAAAAAAATCAATATAGATTCCATAAATCGAAGGCATTTTTGGTCTTGTCCGAAGTCAAAGCCCCTCAAAGGCACCGCCCCTGCTTCCTGGGGTTCTGTGCCCTCCAGAGCAATGCCAGGCACGCATACAATGACCTCCTAAGTATAACTGGTACAGACTTAGATAAAAACATCATTTGAAAATTATTTCCATTTCTTGTATGCTTACTTGGTTTTGTGAACTGCAAAGAATAAGTATTTGATTTTAGCTTTTAACAAGATGAGGCATCCTGGACTCACAGTGTGCGTAACAGTTGGGACACTATCTCAGACCGGGGCAGCCCGAGGAGGTCCTCCCCCTTGCCACTGTACAATGTGGTCTGTGCTCTTATTGGGAAAGGATGCAGATCGGTCGCCTGCTGAAATTCCCTGACGCCATGTGATTATTATCAGGGATTTCCAATGAGCTCTAATTCTTAGATGGTAGATCCCTGCTCTTTAAGAGCTTAGAACTCAATCAGTTTAACATATTCTCCAAGGCCCATTTATTTTTGTGGTCATTTTAGCAAACAATTTGTTAGATGCCTGCAAAAACATAGTCTAAAAAATTAGTAGTATAACATTTCAATCGGATTCTTAATCTTTTTTGTGTCGTGGATGCCTTTAGCTATCTGGTAAAACCTATGGTCCTCCTTTTCAGAATAGTGTTTTTAAATGAGTAGAATGAAATATGAAAAACAATTACATTTAATGAAAACCAATTATATTTAAATAGTTATCCAAATTTTTTTAAGTTCACAGAGTACAAGTTAAAAAAAAAACTTATTTTAGACAATAGTCAAAACAGAAATTTAAAAGCTAATGCCCAGAGGCAGACTTATTGGCCTTGCCAGTTCTGATATTAGAGAACAGTCTAACGGATAAAGAAAGGGCTTCCTACATATTAGCAAAAATTCTTTTTCTGTAGTTACACTTGACATTTAAAGAATGATTTCTTTAGTAAAGCCTCCCCAGTTATCGTAAATGTGCCATTTTCCTTCGTCTTATGCTTAAGGTACTTACCCCCATCACCAAGGAGAAGATCCACGCTCGGTAACTGAAGCAAGGATGGAACCTTTTGGCGAGCTGGAGGTCACTGGATTTCCTCTCTGGAGCGTAATGTCCAGCTTCCTGTCTTCCCCGCTCCAGGGTGGGCATCCTGTCATAACTGAATTCTTCTCTGTAGGGATCTTCCCTTGTCATGATACTTGAAAAACCTTTTTTAGATTAATGAAACTAACATTTGTGATAAAGAATATGGAAAACCATGGGAAAACATTTGTCAAGTGGGCAGTCTCAGCAGAGCACGGAGATTATTCAGGGCTAAAGCAAAAAGTTTCGATTACACAGTCGAGCAGGCTTCTAAGACATGCACACAAATAAACACAATTCGTATCACACAAGGGCATGTGAGAGGCAGAGTTTCCACATGAGGGCCCAAGGGGAAGCTGTGCTCTTAAACCTTCCTTTTTTCCCTCAGGAAGCCACAGGTCTGGATTGCAGAACGAAGCTAGAGACAACTCAGGTGACCTTGACCACCACAGGAGGTGCCCCAGGGGACAAGCTGGAGCTAATCACTGGAGAACAAGCAGAGCTGGACCAGTTTCATGTGCTTGAAGCCTGCTTGAGGATTGGAGCCTTACAAATGGGGAAGGTATATGGAGAGTCACCAAACAAATGGCTCCCTTCTCCTTCCCAAGAGCAACGCATTTAAGGTTTTTAAATGAACAACTTCACTTTCCAAGTAAAAAATCTGATTTCCCTCAATCTCTTGCCAAGCCATTTACGGCTTCTGTGCAACAATGGGCTGACAACATTTTTTAGCAGTTTAAAATTTCTCCACTTACCTTCAAGCCCAAAGTTTGCTGTCAGGTCTAAACAGTTTGGTGAGCGGCGTTGTCTGGTCACTTTGTAATACTCTCACTGCTTAACAATTTAGCCTTTCTTTGAGAAGTTTGTTCCTCCACTTTGAGTTTCAAAAACATCTATTCAGAAATGGAACAAAAGCCCAGCAAAAACTGTAGTTAAGCCAGGGAACATGGGACCGTCTCCTGAATTTTAATAAGGAGAACAACCTCAAAGATAACTTTGGTAAGATTTTATACACAGAAAAGTTTTGCCCTACCACCAAATCATTTCTCTGGATATATAACAGTTTAATAGATGCTTCATATTTCTTTTCGAAAACTCTGGTCGACCTGCAAACTAAGAAAGTTCTTACTGTTAATTTATTTGTGCTTTGGAACCTCCTAAAATAACATTTTAAATAGATTCTCTCATATATAACTCTTATGCTTTAGTTCTTAATGAGAAAGGAGAACGATCACTTGAAAATAAGAATTCTTCAAAACAGAAATTAATGATGCTTCCTACTCACACTATTAAATCTTGGTTTTTTCCTTGAAACAATGATGAACTTGCTTTTACAAAAAAAAAAAAATTATTACACCATTTCCAGGACTTCTGTTTTAACTAGTAATAATGATGATGAAAAAGATGTTCTTTAAAAAGCCAAACATTTACACACTTGACTTAAGCTGGGAAGGCACTTCAACAGAAGACAGCCCTAATCAAATAACACAATTAAAATTCGAGTAGGCAGTACCGAGACACGTGAGCACAGTTCCTTTGGACCTTTTCTTTCTGCTCAGTAAGCAAGAAAAAAGTACAGGAATGCACTCAGCCTGAAAATGATGGCAGCTGAATAGTGACGACAGTCTTTTAAGAGTGAACTTGTTAAGAACCATTACAACCAGGAAATCACTCAAACCATAACATACAAAGACACCAGCACCTTATGCTATCTCCAAGTCCGATTTCCGCAAAGCCATCCACTTCCACATTGTATTATGTTCAACTGCTTTCTTCCTTTAACCAAAAAAGGTTCAATAACCTCCTTCACAAAGTCTAATCTATGAATTCAGCTGTTCCAGTTAGACCTCATACAAACCTCCCAATTTTCTCTGGGCCATTCTTCACTTAATAAATGTCTTTTTAAAAAATACCTTAATAATCCAAATTAATTCTAACTCATAAAACCATCTTCTACTTCCTTTAATTTAGAGAAAATTCTATTCAAATGTTTCCACTATTTGCATGGAATTACAAAGACAGTACTCGATTACTATAACTCAAAGCCAAAACAAACAAAAATTCCCAAGCTGCCCAAAGCAGTCATCTCTACAGTTCATCAGTTCAGTCACTGAGAAATGTTTCCTTATTTCTTTCATAGAGTACAGTATTACATGACCAGTGCCGTCACTGGATGTACCACTGGATAGCTCAGCCAGTAATTTTGCCTCAATCTAGGTTACAAATCTAACATGAAAGGATGGTAACTCTATTAAGAGACATTTTCAAATGCGCTTGTTTCTGTTAGTGTACACTTATTCCATGTACATCTTCTGCTTCATAAGATGTACATGCAAGGGTGCAACAAACTTCCATCCCTTCAGCCAAAGCCCCTTCCATAACATTCCATGTGCTTTAAAAGGGCAATGACCATTTTCTGTTAACTTAGTTATTGTCAGTTAGTCAACAGTCATTTATCAAGCACTTACTACTGGGCTACATTCTCATGAGAGAGACAAGACACTAAAAAACACTCTAAAATATGGAGGGAGTGGACAGAAGTAAAGCTAAGAGGGTGAGGTATTAGCAAGGGGGAAGAAAGGGGACAGGGATGCAGAAACTGGGATTCGAGCTGAGTCTGAAAAGAAGCCACAGAAGGCAAGAGGCGAAGGTGAGGAGGTTAGGGTTAGCCTAATATGAGGGGCAGTCAATGAAAAGGCACAGGGGATGGAGGGTCTGGCAAGAAGAACAGCCGGAAGACCAACGTGGCCGGACTGTAGAGTACGTGGATGTGTAAGACCAGAAAGGAAGAAAGGAGCCAGGGCTTTAAAACACAAACAGAAGATGTTATATTTGATCCTACAGGTAACAAGGAGCCAAGGAAGCAAAGGTGGGAGACAGACTGAAGAGGGATCAGAGGAGAAGGAGAGGACAGGACGGGGAGGCACTGAATGTGGGCCGCATCTCAAGAAGTTCGCCCACAGAGCGGAGGAGAGATTACAGGGTGAGGTAAGAGAAAGAGAACACTTTTATAAAGATGGAGGAGAGACTGGAGTGTTTGTAAGCAACAGGGAAGCAGCCCCCAGATAGGGAGAGATTGAAGGATTAGTGAGAGAGCGGGGATGGTGGAGGAGACAATCTCCGGAGAAGACCCCAGCCTCCTAGCTTCCCTGGCTTCCTTCCAGACTCAGCTCCAATCTCACCTCCTCCAAGAGGCCCTGAAGGGACTGACCTAGGCCCTCTGCTAGCGCTTCTGACGTTACCCCCCACTTACACTTTGATATCTCATATGGACATAATTGTTGGCATGATGTCTTCCCCATCGAATGGGGGATCCTGGAGGGAGAAGCCTCACTGTTGCCTTTCTTTACACCCCCAGTGCTTGGCACAGCATTGGGCATATAGTAGGTGCTTAATAAATGCAGGATGACTGATCAAATCAGATATACCCAGAGAGATTGGAGTGGCAAGGAGAAGGGACACCTCTTTCTTCACATGACACAAGAGTAAAGAAGAAGGTTATGGAGAAAGATCTCTGAGTAACGTAGGATAAGGAGGATAAGGATGTAGGAAGGGATGGTGTAGGGGTGCTGTGGGACTCTTATGGAGGCGTCAAGTGGACTGAAATGCCCCTGTGATGACTAGGATAGCAAACGGAGTCATTGTCAGTGTCTTCAGAAAACACTGAATTTTCTTTAGCAGCAAGTATGCTGCTTTTGTGCTGGGTTTTCAGGTAAAATGTGTGACATTCCATCCGGTATTTTCAATTGTCCTATTCAAAGCCTTTGGTGTGGCCCGAGTTGACCGAGGTTCGGGGAGGAAAGGACGGGCCAAGCTAGAAAGACTCAAAAATCTGAACCAGTGACTGACTCAGAACTCTCCCAAGACCTAGCTACAAATGTAAGAAGGAAATATGCAGATGAGAAGAAATTATATACCTGTAAATTACAGGATTAGCAACACAGCAGAAACAACAACGCAGCTACCCGTTTCCACTGTTTCCTCCCTTCTCCAAAAAAGCATAAACTAGCCCAAAGTATTCTCCAAATTCTCAGTTAACTAATTTAATAGTATAAAAACCAAACGGAACGCGTATTACATTTCTTATTGTTTAAACACAACCAAATGGAACAAAGAAAAAAGCAAGAGTTGGTCATCTTTATCCAATTAAGTGACTAGAACACATTTATTAAATATCTATTATGTATAAGCAAGAATTGGCCAACAACAGGAAGCCTGGCTCTGGCCCAGCGTGACCAAACAATTCCAAAATTCATCTGAAGGAACAAAAGGTCAAGAAACTCGAGGGGAGAAAGAGGGGAAAGGAAGGAAGGAGAAGAGAAGGCAAGGGAGGGCACGGGAGGAGAGCCAAGTGTCTTGGAGAACACGAACTCAGGGCATGACAGAGAACAGCAAAGGAAAGTAATAAGGAGTAAAATGACAGGTAGGAAGGGATCCAGGAGGAAGTAGCATCATGAAAACCCAGATAGGAGTGAAAATAACGAAAAAAGCAGGCCGGAAGGAGTCTAGCAGGAGCAGATCTCAAGCTACACCACAAAGCAATAACAATAGAAACTATTGGGCACATAGTAATGGGGCTTTGGCACATGCCCAGATTACCCAAGATGGCGGCACCCACATGGAAACACCAAGGACTTGCTTCTGAGACAAAGTCTGAATTGGCTCTTCGTGGCAGCCAAAAACTAAGGGGCTAGCCTCCTATCGGGGAATGGCTAAACTCATTGTAGTATAGGAATGTAAAAGAATATTATTGTGCCACAAGAAATAACAAATTGGATCGTTTTAGAGAGACATGGTGAGATATCTATAAAGTGATACAGAGTGAACAGAACTAGAAATAATAACATCATATAGAAAAAAAATTCAAAATATAAATTTGATAAAATTATAAACCACCAATCCAAGAGAACAAAGGCAACAGAGACGTGACAAACTTAAGGTGCAGAAAGCAACACTCATTTTCAGACAAGGCTAATATGGAAATCTTATTGGACCAGGCAGCTATGAACTGAGGACTCATTTTGGTTTGGTTTTGTTTTTTAATTTGTTCAACTTGGGGCAGGAGAAGTAAGAGGGACGAATTAATAAAAAGAAAAATTTTAAAGGATACTTATGCAGACACACCATATTTAAGGTGGCACCATGTTGCACAGAACATCAGGCTTGCAGTCAGGATGACCTGAGTTCAAATTCGGTCTGAGACACGTACTGGCTATGTGACCCTGGACAAGACACTTCACCCTGTTTGCCTCAGTCTCCTCATCTGTCAAATGAGCTAGAGAAGGAAATGGCAAACCACTCCAGTATCTCTGGCAAGAAAACCCCAAATGGAGTCACAAAGAGTTGGACACCACGGAACCACAACCAAAAAATTACCCACCAAGGAACTGGATGAATACAACTACAAATCACTCTTTAAGGAAGTAAAAATGTATAGACCTAAATAATTCAAGAAACTTTATTGTTTTGGGGTAGATGGGTACACTACAATAAAAAAAAAATACTACCTACCTTAATTTAGTTATGCAATGCTAAACTACCAAAGGATTACTTTGGAGTACTAAAAAAAAATAATAAAATTTATCTGGAAGAACAAAAGGTCAAGAATCTCAAGTGATAATGGGGTGGGGGTGGGAAGAGGCGAGGAGGAGGACCTCGAAGTACCAGATCTCCAACCACACTCCAAGGCCGTACCCAGCAAAGCGATTTGGTCCTTGTTTGGGAAAAATAAGTTGCTCAATAGGACAGCTCAGGAGCAAACAGGTCCAACAGGCCAGCATCGGAAAAACCCAAAGACGCTGGAGGAAGGCCCAACTACCTGACCGCCGCCGGAGCGGCCGGTCCCGGACGGGGCAGCGCCTGGCGCCATGCTTCCAGACAAGCTCCACGTGGCCTCGAGACCTAGCCGGGAGCGGTGACGTCATAAGCGAGTGAGGGGAACAAGGAAGGCAGCCTCTGAGGAAGTGCATGGTCAAAGGAGAGAGGGGCACGGATAAAATGGGTGCCTTCATTAATCAGTCAGGTGAGACTGGGCATGTTTTGCACGAGAACGGTTCTTGCAGAGCTTTCCTCGGCCAAGGTGCAGGGCCTCCTTGTAAAGCGCCTGAGGCCTCGATTCTGCCCCAACGGCCAGAGGGCGTGAGCCCCGCTGATCTCGGTTTGCGTGGCCGTGAGAGAAGAGATTTCTGACCCGCTTTGGTCAGGCTGCTCGCTCAGAGGCCTTTCAGAGGCGGCCATGCTCCCCCACAGGCCAGACCTAGGGGGCGGGTCTGGAGGCGCGAGGGCGGAGGGGTCACGTGAGACGCCTGGAGCGCGGGGGCGGAGCTAACGGCCGAGGCGTGCGGCGTGAGTGCGGGCTGCGCTCCCATTGGCCGGGAGGACGCAGGCCTCGTGCTGCGCGAGGTCACGTGGGCGGGCGGGCGCGTGCGCTGCGTGGCTGGCTCCCTCCTCGGCGGCGCGCGCTCGCTGAGGACGAAGGCGACGCGGGCGAGCCGGAGCTCGGCGTGCGGTGAGGCGAGGCCCGGCCATGCTTCGGCTCGTGTCGAAGGCCTTCTCCTTCCTGTGGAGGCGAGCCGAGGGCCTGGAGGAGGAGGCCGAGGCGCAGCCGCAGGAGCTCGAGGAAGGTGGGGGAGGGCCCTGGAGAGGCCGCGCGCATGCGAGCCTCGCTTTCCGGGCCTCAGTTTCCCCTGGTGGGGGCCGGCCTAGTCCGGGGCCGAGGCCTCCTCCAGTGGGGGAGGGGGGCGCTCTGCGCAGCGGGGCCTGCCCGAGGCGGGGGGTGGGGAGGCCTCGGGCGGCTTCCTCGGGACTGGGACAGGGACAGGGGGCCGCTTGACGTAGCGCGGATTAAAGCGCTTTATTGAGCTTCCACGTGCGTGGCGTTGGGGGAGGGTCGCCTCGTGGAGCCGGCTCCGTCCTGGGGTGGGGGACGTCGAGGCACGCGGGCGCCTTCCCCAGAGCTGACCGCAGGCAGCCGGGCCGCGATCCCCGCCCCCCCCCCCCGTTCTCCGCCCCCCCTCCCCGCCCCCCCCCCCCCCCCCCCCCTCCCCCCCCCCCCCCCCCCGTTCTCCTCCCCCGCTCTGATGGTGCACGGCCTACGAACACTGAGAATGTTGTCTGTTGTGCCGCTCCCTGTTGTGTTAAGTTGGGGCTTCTCCCTGGTAAACCTTGGTGACCTAAGTCGTGCGCAGATCAGCCCACACCGGCGTGTGGCTGGAGGCAGCTAGGTAGAGCAGCCGAGAGCGGCAGGGTGACCCGCAGACGCTAACTGTGTGACTCTGAACAAATCGCTTAACCTGCCTGCCTCAGTTTCCTCACCTGTAAAATGCAGATAATAGCAGCTCCCTCCAGGGTAGTTGGGAGAATAAAATGAGATAATGTTGCCAGCCATTACCATTATCTTTATTTTCACAATTCTTGTCTGTAAACCTCTCTAAAAAGAGCTCTTCCAGTGATAGGATGCTCAGTACCTTCAGAGGAAACCTAGTCCATTTTAGGTGGCTTAAATGAACTCCCTATGAGATCTAAGAAAGACAGTACAGGGAAATTGTAATCTGTTTTATTCTAGACACTACATTTGTTAATCCAGCCGAATATTTCACTGTATTTGGAGGGCTGTCACCTTGCCTTACTGATATGCTGTAGGCTAATGAAAGCCTTAGGTCTTTTTCACATGAATTGCCATCTAACCGTGTATCCCTGCCCCCCATCCTGTGTTTTTGCAGTTGATTTGTTTTAATAAACGCAAGGGATAGATATGGGTCGAATGAGTGCACCTTAAGTAGGCTCAGAACTGGCTGACCTACAGTATGCCAGAGGTCTTTGTTACTGGATGGAATGTCCGTCTGCGGTAGCACAGACCCACTTCTCAACGTTTCGATCGGAAACCTAGATGGAGGTGGTGGTATTGTTTGTCTGCCCTTCATTCTCAAAGAGGACCAGTAGATGCGGATAGAGATTTTGTGCTTACCTCATTTCCACGTGACGTGAATTGGGGAGAGAACTTAAATAGTAGATGAAGGCTAGATTAGACAGGTCTAATGCGATAAAACGATAGAAATAAATGGAAAGTTGTGCCGCTAGCCGTTAAAAATTAACTGCACAAATATAGTTATGGGGGAGACATGGCCAGACAGCCCTTCATATGAAAAAGATGCTCAGGGAAAGCAGCTTCTGTGAGTCACGTTGATGGTGAATTGAACCGTGGTGCATCCATGACATGCCCTTTCTGTTTTTCCAGGAACAGTGGGAGAATTGACCCACAACAAAAAGGGGAAGAGTGCACACATGTGACTAAAGCAAAGAAGATGGCCAGAGCTTACTGCTAAATCCTGGTCTAGCCCGGTGATGGGGGTGAACGGCTAAATTTTGTAGGCTTAATTGAATTGGTAATCAACCACTCATCTTGGCTAGGAGTTGGAAGGTTGAGGTGATTCGTTCTTTCCCTGTTCCCCCACTGGAGGCATTTTTGATGATTTTCTGTCAAGATGCTGATCCAGGTGGGGTGAAGCTGTCATTATGGCCACTATGCACACGTCTGGATGTGAAAGCATGGTCTGGTCAGCTCTTAGGAGAGATGATTAATGACTCCTGGGACGCTGTTGGGTATAATTTCAAGGTCTTTGGGTGTCCTGATAATACTTGCACTGTCTACCTCCAGGATTGGTGTGGGGAAAGTTTAAAAAAAGAAGAAAGATTTGTATTTAATTAAATCCATGCTGGTACATAGTGATCGCCCATAAGTGCTCACAAGCCATCCTTTTAACTATCTGTTCTAGAAAGCTGTGCATCTTTACAATAGCTCCACCCCCCAGTGTTTTGTCAGGCCATCATTCCTACTCTCCTCCTCCCTCCCCGGTCTTGACCCGGTTCGGCTCTACTCTGTCATCCTTGCCCCTTTTGTTGCTGCTCGTACTTTGCCAAACTGTAAACCTGGATCACTGCGTCCATCCACCTCTTACCTTCTGTGCTCATGCTTCCAAGGTCACACAATTGTGCTGACTGTGTTTATTACCAGTTTACATAATACAGCCTCAGGCCGTCACTGCAGCTTTGCAGTGCTTTATTTTTTTGGTATTACTTTTGTCAGTGAATAAGAAGCTATTTTTTCTTCTGTAGGGAGAAAGAGAATCAAATCTGACACTTCTCGCTGGGTAACCCTGGGCAAATTCACCTGTTTGTCTCAGTTTCTTCAACTGTACATTGGGAATAACAGCACCTTGCTCTCAGGGTTGTTGTGAGGATCTGTTGAGAGATTTGTAAAGTGCTTAGCATGGTGCCTGGCAAACAGTAGGTGCTTAGTAAAGGCTTATTCTCTTCCTCCCCCCGCCCCGTGACATAGATATCTCCAGCCTCCAGTCTTTCCCCTAATCTCTCGCCCTATATCACCAACATTTTTTATTCTTTTTTAAAAATTTTATTTATTTGTTTTTAGTTTTCAACATTTGCTTCTATAAGATTTTGGGTTCTAAACTTTCTCCAACTCCCTCTGCTTCCCCTTCCCCAAGACGGTGTGCAATCTGATGTAGGGGTTACGTGTACAATCATATTAAACATATTTTAAACATATTTCCACATAATTCATGTTATAAAGAAAAATTAGAACCAAAAGGAAAAACAATACTTCGATCTGCATTCAGACTTCATAGTTCTTTCTCTGGATTGGATTGCACTTTCCATCTTGAGACTTTTGGAGATGTCTTAGATCCTTGCATTGCTGAGAACAGTTAAGTCTATCAGAGTTGTTATTGCACAGTGTTGCTGTTACTGTGTGCAGTGTTCTCCTGGTTCTGCTCACTTCACTCAGCATTCATTCATATGAGTCTTTCCAGGTTTTTCCAAAGTCTGCCTGCTCATCATTTATTATGGAACGTTAGTATTCCACTAGATTCATATACCCCAACTTGTTCAGCCATTCCCCAATTGATGGGCATTCTCTCATAAAGAGCTGCTGTAAATAGTTTTGTTCATGTGGGTCCTTTTCCCATTTCTTTGGGATATAGACCTGGAAGTGGTATTGCTGGGTCAAAGAGTATGCACATTTTTATAGCCCTTTGGGCATAGTTCCAGATGGCTCTCCAGAATGGTTGGATCAGTTCACAACTCTACCAGTAATGCACGTGTTCCGATTTTCCCACATCTTCTCCAACATTTATCATTTTCCTGTTTTGTTATGTTAGCCAATCTGATAGGTGTGATGTAGGTAACTCAGAGTTGTTTTAATTTGCGTTTCTGTAATCAGCAGTGATTTAGAGCATTTTTTCATATGACTATAGATGGTTTTAATTTCTTCATGTGAGAACTGCCTGTTCGTACCCTTTGACCATTTATCAATTAGGGAATGACTTGTATTCTTGTAAATTTGACTGAGTTCTCCATATATTTTAGAAATGAGGCCTTTATCAAAGACATTGGCTGTAAAAATTGTTTCCCAGCTTTCTGCTTCCCTTCTAATCTTGGTTGCATTGGCTTTGTGCAAAAACTTTTCATTTTAATGTAATCAAAATTATCCATTTTGCATTTAATAATGTTCTCTCTCTCTTGTTTGATCATAAATTCTTCCATTCTCCATAGATCTGACAGGTAAATTATTTCTCGCTCTCCTAATTTGCTTATAGTCTCACCCATTATGTCTAAATCATGTACCCATTTTGACTTCATCTTGGTATACGGCATAAGATGTTGCTCTGTGCCTAGCTTCTGCCATACTATTTTCTAATTTTCCCAACAGTTTTTGTTAAATAATTAGTTCATATCCCAGAAGCTGGAGTCTTTGGGTTTATCCAACAGTAGATTTCCGTAGTCATTGACTGTTGTGTCTTGCATACTGACCCACCACTCTATTTCTTAGCCAGTACCAAGTAGTTTTGATTACCGCTGCTTTATGATACAGTTCTAGATCTGGTATGTCTAGGCCACCTTCCATTGCATTTCTTTTCATTATTTCCCTTAATATTCTGAACCTTTTGTTCTTCCAGTGAATTTTGTTATTTTTTTCTAGCTCTATAAAATACTTTTTGGTAGTTTGATTGATGTGGCACTAAATAAGTAAATTAGTTTAGGTAGAATTGTCATTTTTATTATATTAGCTTGGCCAACTCATGAGCACCTGTCATCAACATTTCTAAGTAGGTGTCCTGAAGACATCTCAAGCCTATCATGTTCTCAAAATGGAATTAATTATTCCCCTACCTACCATTCCCTCTTTTAAACTTCTCTGTTTCTCTTAGAGGTACCTCCATTTTTCTGGTCTTTCATCAGTGTTAAGTCTTTCACCTGTTTCTCCCACCTCCAAGATCAACTATAAACCCCTTTATGTGGCCTTTAAAATTCTCCCTAACCTAGGGTCTTCCTACCTTTCTGATCTTACATTTTCCTCTTCCCCATAGGCTCTGAACTGATCTGCTTTCACTCCTCAGACAGGACACTCCCATCTTCCATCACCATGCTTGAGCACCAGCTGCCCCCTCCCTTTCTGGAATGTTCTTTATTCTCACCTCCACCTCTTAGTTTCCCTGACTTCCTTTAAGGCTCAGCTCAGATCCCACTGGCTCCAACAGTCCCCTCATGGTCCTTCACCTGCTAACGCAGCTCGGTGCCCCTCACTACTCTGGCACATAGTAAGCGCTTAATGAATGTTTCTTGATTCCTTACTGCCTTCCCACTCCCACCCCAATCCAAACTTGGCAAACGTTGTTTTACATATCTTACATCTGACCTTTTCTCCGTGCTCACAAGGCCTCATCACCTCTCACCTAGAGTATTCCAAAGGCCTCCTGCCTCAAATCTCTCCCCATTCCAGTGTACCCTACATACAGCTACCGAAATGATCTTCCTTAAGTTCAAATCTAACCCTTGGATAAAATATAAACTCCTGGCTTTTAAAGCCCTTCTCAACCTATCATTCCAAAATCATGATGCCTTACTCCTGTTTCCACGATCTGTGATCTAGTCATACTGACCTCCACCCCATTGCCCATCCCCATGCCTTGACATTCACTGTCTATCTCTCCTTCCCTCCTCCTAATAGAGTTACTGACTTTCACATCACTGTTCCTTCAAACACCACGTTTTACATAAAACCTTTCCTGACCCCTAGCTGCTAGAGCTTCCCTGCCTTGAATGTATTCTCTTTATTCTATGTGTACCTAAGTTTGTATTGATTGTCTCTTCAGAAGAATAGAAGCTCCTTTGAGAGCAGAGATTGTTTCATTCTTTTTATTCTAAGCCTAAGTACAACCTCAGTTTTCTCATCTGTAAAATGGAGATAATAATAGCCTCTCTCTCACAAGGTTGTTGTGCTAGTCAAATAAGATAATATTTATAAAGCTCTTAGCACTGTGTGGCCCATAATAGGCACTGAGTAAATATTTATTTCTTCCCGACTCCTCCCCCCCATTATCTCCTTTACTAGCCCCAAGCTGTCTGAGCTGTGTCATTCAACCAAACAATTTTAAGCACTTTGGCTCGTTGGGGAATATATCAAGTTTAAATAAGACAAGAGAAGTCCCTGATTCCTTCCCTCTTTGAGTCAACAACCTAGCACACGCTCTGGCCCTTTGTTCACATTGTGCCAAATGCTTAACCAAAATTTAGCACAACTGGTCAGTTTTTTTGGTGTCCTTGAAACTTTCACACAGAGCCTCGCCCAAATGAAATGAATATTTCCTTGAGATTTCTCAGAACTTTTCCTAGACCTCTTGGTGTTTATTTTTACTCTCCCATATAGCAGTTATTTGTGTCAAATCAACAAACATTAAGCACCTACTGTATGCCAGACACTGTACTTTACATTCTGAAGATGCAAAGAAAGGAGAAAAAAGTCCCTGCCATGAGGAGCTCTCAGTCTAATGGAGATGAAAAGAAGCAAACAATTGTGTGTAAGCCACAGGTGGTACAAAGGAGAAATTGGAGATGATCTCAGAGGGAAGGCACAACAGGGGGACTGGGAAAGGCTTCCCGGAAAAGGGGGCCATTAGCTGGGATTAGATGAAAGCCAAAAGTAGAGGGAATTAGAGAGAGCATTCCAAGCATGGGAGAAAGTCAGGAACGATGGGAGATAGAAGAACAGCCAAGAGGCCCGTGTCACCAGATTGGCAGGTCTGTGGAGGGGAGAAAGGTGTTCTCTTTCCCTCAATTAGAAGAAACTCCTTAAGAATGAGATCTGTCATGGCTATCTTTGAATTCCTGGTAACTTCATTGGTTAGCACAGGCCCAGAATGATTTGCCTTCATCACTTCCTCCACCTTCTACGAGCCAGGCAAGTCAGTTCCTAGCATCCTCACTGATACCTGGATAGTGGACGTTCCCTCAGCACAACTGCCCATTTTCCATGCTAGATACCTGGTGTATGTCTGGAAGGTATCCAGTTGTCATTAGACCTACCCTGGGTCTAGCTATATGACACCCCTCCCCACCAGAGTCTGTCTGAGTGATCTCTCTAGAGAAGTTCTCTGCCGACCATTCTTTCTCCTTTGAGATTCTTAGATCCCAGCACAGGTGACATTGTTTATGATGAGCACTTCTGCCAGGTCATTAAGAGACCTTTTCACTGCCACAGGACTCTAATCCGGAGTCTCCTGCTTCCGAGTCTGTCATTCCTATGAAATCATGTAATCTCATTTCAAAAACATCCAGCTCACCTTGTTTCAGGACCAAGAGCCCGCACGCGGTTTCTGTCCTTTTCTGTTTATACCTTAGTTGGCTTTTTTCTGATGTTACACCTGCCTGCCCTTAACCTTGCTGTGTCTTGGTCCTTTCTCCTTTGTATGACTTTGAAATAGAATTGTTGTTTTTTTGTGTCACACTGGAGGTGTGAGAAGCTTTTCAAGATACATGGAACAGGGGCAGCTCCATAGGAATCAGGAGACAAGGTCTAGTTCTTACAGTCACAATCCCTGCCATGTATGTCATTACACACACACACACACACACTGGGGTGTGTCCAATACAGTGAATGCCTGGCTTAGATTCATTCATTCAGTGAGCATTTATTATTACTCATTAGCTGGAAGTCAAAATTCCCTAATCTTTGTCATCTAGATATTTCAGCCGCTTATTATGGGTGGTAGTAATGACAGTAGCTGACAGATGATGCTTTAAAACGTTTCGCATCCATTATCTTATCTGAGCCTCTTAACAGCCCTCACAGGTAAGTACTGAAAGCATTGCTATCCCATGTCAGGTGACCTGCCCGTGGTCATAGGGTTGCTCTCTTCATTTCACTCTCATTAGGCCAGGTCTTTCTACAGTGGGGCTTACTTTCATTTCTGATTTTCATTGTTTGTGATTAATTTGTGATTTAAACATTCTGCTTCCTCATCTTGTAGGTACCACCAAGCTGAAAACTGTTCAGGGAGTTGTGACCAGATACTGTAGTGATTATGGGATGATTGATGATCTGGTGTGCTTCACTAGCGATGTTGTCACCAGCAGCGTGCCACTGAACGTTGGCCAGGAGGTGACCGCCATCGTGGAAGAGGATAAGATATCCAGTGGATTGAAGGCTATCAGAGTGAGTTGAATGACTGGAAGTGGTTTCGTTTCTTTGCACACTGAGAGGGTTTCAGTCTGAGGAAGAGGTGGGCATTCTCTGCCATGCTTCTCTTGGTACTCTCCTCCACTCTTTAGCTACACCGTTGAAAGTCTGTGTGATGCCAGGTGTTGTGCTTAGATTGTATTTAGAATCCATGGGCCACGAGGTCATGACAATCCCCAAACTCTGCTTTGAGGTAACATGGCCTGGAAGACTGTTGTGGCATTTGGGAGGTGGAGTAAGGGGCGAAGTACTGATAGGTTGTGTTAATAAATTAACTGAGTTAATAAACATAACTTCTCTTGCTGCCCTGTAACTTGCTTAAGGTAAATTCTATTGTCAAAAGAAGCTATGGGAACTGCGAGCTTTCTGAATCATCCACCAGTGCCAATCTGAGCTCTTTAAACTTGAGTTGGTGTTCTCATGAGTTTGGCTTTAGGGAACTGACCTCCTGTACTGCATGAGGCACTCAGCACTTGGCCAGACCATTACCAAACACCAGCTCTCTGGCCCCTCGTTACATCCATGTCAAAGGTGTGCCGTGCCTTTTGGGAGTTTAGGATCAGCTCCACTTCCTAGGGAGGCACCAAAGTAGGGTTTAGGTCAAGGATGTGGACCTGAGGCATTTTGATCACTTGGGAAGGATTGGGGGGAAATGTCAGATCCTCCTTCATTGCGTGTAGCCAACACTTTCTGAGTGCCTGCTCTGTGCAGAATGCTGTCCTGGCTGCTGGGGGAGAGCCAGAGATGATAGAAATAAGGAACAGAGCTGGCATCCTGGTAGCGGGGCAGAACATACACAAAGAATTTTAAAACCAGACAGAGATTTTCTTGAAACTGAATTGAATGGAGCCAGAGTTTGTTGTACTTTGTGGGGGGGAAATGCCATCTTATTTCCATAAATTTTCAGGGCATGCCCTGTTCATCTGAATTGCTTCCTTCAGTGCTTTACGCAGCTAGGTTCACTTAGTATTAGGAAAACTCAAATTAGAATCCTGCCTTAGACCCTTAAAGCTCTGTAGTCCTGAGCAAATCAGTTACCTCTGTCAGCCTCAATTTTCTCATCTGTAAAGTAGGAACAACAGTACCTCCCTCAAAGGGTTTTTGTCAGGATCAAATGAGTTAACTGATGGAGTGCTTTGGAACCTTACAGTTATAACTACATAAATGTTAGCTGCTCTTCCTAGTACCGTGTGCCACAGGCATGCTTCATAAATGCATTTGTTGTCAGAACTTGGACTTTTGGTAGATCAGCTAACAAGTAATAAAGTTGTACTTTTCCTGTCAGCCCCTTGTACCTCAAGCACATGTTCAGTAGTCTGAAGAAATTTAACCACTTCAGGACATTTTGTGTTCATTAGTCATTTAACAAAAATAATCTCTTATTCCCCACCCTACCCTGACTACATTTTGAACCCCCAGAATATAGGGCTCAGTGTGTTTGCCTTGCAGGTTGAAGCTGTCTCTGATAAATGGGAGGATGACAGCAAAAATTACTGTGAACTTCCAGATTCCAGTACCAAGATTTTGATTGGCTGTATTACTTCTCTTGTTGAGGATGCTGGCTACATCAATCAGACAACCTACTTCTCCATGCAGGATGTTTGTGAAGGTATGGATTGTACTTTTTTATTTAAAAAAAAAACTGATTTTCCATGTGTTTAACATTCCCATTTTAAAGTGGTAATAAGTATCGGTTAAGAGAGACGCAAACCAGGGCGTTCCAGAATTGGAATCATGCTGTCAGATGAAGCAAAAACAGGCAGACATCCACACCACAAAGCGATAAACAAGGATATTAATAAGCTGAAAGGAAGTGGTCAAAAACCAAAAATTAGTATTAAACTATTAAGCTCCAAATACTTTTGCATCCAAATTCTTAAAGGAAAAATTAACTAAATCACAAGAAGGCATAGTAATGCAGTAATAGCAAGAAACCTGAATGTCTGTCCGTTTTAGACAAAGCTAACAAAGACACAAGGCAACATATAGAATCAGACAGAAGTGCTGGAGAAGCAAGTTGAGAGGCTTATGGTGTCTTCTGAATGCAACTGCTCAAGAATAGTATGTGTTTCTTAACATTACATGGAACTTTTACAAAAATTGTCCCTGTATTGGGGCATAGAGATTTTGCAAACCCATAATACCCTTCATAAGAGAAGGGGGGTAGTGCAGAGGAATTAGAAAGGGAAAACAATGTTTTCCTCTACATTTTTTGTGGGCTGTCAAAATCCTTTAGCCTGTGCCTAAGGCCACAGGTTGTACAAGCCTGCTTTAATCCTAAAACAGCATTCCTGCTCCTGCAGTTAGCTGTTCTGTGCACCCAGACTACATGCCCTCCTGTGGTCTCCCACAACTATGCCCTATAAGAATCCCCTTCTCCCTTTCCTACCTGTACATCCCTGTCTGAATAAGACGGTGTGTTGTCCCAAAATGCAATTTCTTGATGCTAAATAAATGCCTCACTTTATTTACTGATCACCTAGTTAGTCTGAGTTTTTGTACGGGTTGATACCAGGTATGTTCACTCCTTCCCTTTTCTCATGGCTCCCACTCCTGACTTTTTTCTGATTCATTCCCCAGCAGCCTCCTTAGTCTGGAAGATGCGATGCAGGTGCCTTCTCACCTCTTCTCCCCCTCCACCTTGACTTTTTTGTCTTCTCCTATTAGAGATCTTGAGTTCCTTGAGGTCAGGGACTGTCTTTTTGTTTTATTTGCATTGCAAGCACTTAATACAGTGCCAGTAAATGCTTAGGAAATATTTTTTGACCTCTTGATATATGGAAACTACCCCTCTCAGGCAGCTCCTGTTTTCTGGTGCCATGGAGATCCAACAGATCGGCATTCAGGAGACAATTTTAAGCACCTCCTGTGGGCAGAGTTCTGTGCTAGATACTGGAGGAGGTAGAAATTTTATATCAGACACATCCTGGCCTCATGGAGCTCATAAACTACTAAGGATACGTGAAGCATAGTTAACTGTAGTGCAGAGTAATCTGTAAGTCTATTATAGAGGAACAAAAATGTGTTCTGTCTCTCCCTCCACTGCAGTACAGCCTTCCTCTTCCATACATTTAACCTTTTTTATGTGGTGTGTGCTGAGAATCAAGAAACTTGGGGTCAGATTATTAGTCGTGTGTCCACAAACAGATCCATTAACCTTCTGGCACTTCTGTTTCCAGTCTATAAAATGAAGAAACCAGTTTGGATAATCTTTGAGGCTCTTTTCAGCTCTGATATTCTCTGTATCTTGTTTATTTGGGTCAAACTTCCTCCTTCTTCTCCCAGCCAGTTACTTTGGGAGTAAGGGTCAGCTTACCTGCTTGGAAAACGTCTCCACCATACCTTCCTGGTATTATGAACACAATAGCTTATAAAAACCTTTTATAAATTTCAGAATGGGGGCCGCTAGGTGGCGCAGTGATTAGAGCACCAGCCCTGGAGTCAGGAGAACCCGAATTCAAATGCGGCCTCAGACATATAACACTCACCAGGTGTGTGACTCTGGGCAAGTCACTTAACCCCAGTTGTCTCGCTAAAAAACAAACAACAACAACAACAAAAAACAAAAACAGATTTCAGAACGAATGCTGTCGTTAAACCGTTTTACAGTGATGGAATTTTAAAATACATGTATTTTTCTTAACTTGTAGGTTTTGAGCCTTGTAAAGGTGATTGGGTACAAGCTGAATATTTCATTAAGCCAGCAACATGGAACAGTGAGGCAATTTCTGTGAAGCCACTAAGATACAAACGAGTAGATCAGGTAACTAAACAGTCAGTGCCCTCAAGAAGCTGACACTCTCCTGCTTAAGACTGGAAAATTGCTGAAGGGAAATAGAAAATTGGGAAAGAATTTTTACAACCAGTCTGTCTGATAAGGGCCTCATTTCTAAAATATATAGAGAATTAAGTCAAATTTATAAGAATACAGGTCATTCCCCAATTGATAAATGGTCAAAGGATATGAACAGGCAGTTCTCAGATGAAGAAATTAAAGCCATCTATAGTCATATGAAAAAATGCTCTAAATCAGTATTAGAGAAATGCAAATCAAAACAACTCTGAGGTACCACACCACACCTATCAGATTGGCCAACATGACAAAACAGGAAAACGATAAATGTTGGAGAAGATGTGGGAAACTTGGAACACTGTTGCATTGTTGGTGGAGTTGTAAACTGATCCAGCCATTTTGGAGAGCAATTTGGAATTATGCCCAAAGGGCAATAAAACTGTTCATACCCTTTGACCCAGCAATAGCACTTCTAGGGCTATCTCTCAGAGAGATCATACAAATGGGAAAAAGACCCACATGTACAAAAATATTTATAGCAGCTCTTTCTGTGGTGGCAAAGAATTGGCAATTGAGAGGATGCCCATCAATTGGGGAACGGCTGAACAAGTTGTGGTATATGAATGTAATGGAATACTCTTGTGCTATAAGAAATGATGAGCAGGCAGACTTCAGAAAAACCTGGAAAGACTTGTATGGACTCATGCTGAGTGAAGTGAGCAGAACCAGGAGAACGTTGTACACAGTAACAGTCACGTTGTGCGATGACTAACATGGATAGACTTAGCCCTTCTCAGCAATTCAAGGATCTAAGACATCTCTAAAGGCCTCATGATGCAAAATGCCATCCACATCCAGAGAAAGAACCATGGAGTTTGAATACAGATCAAAGCAGACTATTTGCCATTTTTTTTTCTTCTTTGGTGTTTTGTTTCCTCTTTCTGGTGGTTCCTTCTATTCTAATTCTTACTTACAACGTCACTAATGTGAAAATATGTTTAATAGAAATGTATATGTATAGCCTATATCAGATTGCAAGCCGTCTTGGGAAGGGAGGTGGGGAGAGAGGGGGAGAAAAATTTAAAACTCAAAAGCTTATGGAAGTGATGGTTGATAATTCAAAATAAATTAATTAATAAAAAAAGACTGTAAAATTGCTGAGCTTCCATTCAACTATGAGACTCCTTGAAGTTAAGAAGAAGCAGATTTCAGTTCAATATATTATATTGGTCAAAGAATAACTCCTTCCAATCCAATATGGAAGAACTACCAATAATTTCCATTGTCCCAAAAATGTAGTGGCCTGCTGTGATTGATCCTAAGTCTTCTGTCACTATGATTATTCAAGCACAGGTCCTTCTGATAGTTTTAGAGGCAAATCATGAAATTGAACAGGCATTCAGATGAGAGGACCTCAGAGAGTCCTTCAAATACTAGGAATTCCATAATGATTCTAGTCTAATTTCCTGAAACCCAGTTCTTCCCATCCCACTTTCTCTGGCACCCTCTCTTTTAGCCTTAGATACTTTGAAAGAAATGAGCAAATGGACGTCTAATAGCTGGTCATGTTACAAGTATTTGGTGTGACTTTTCTTTCCATTCTAACAATTGCAGGTTTGCATTTCCAGTCTGTGTGGAAAAAATGGGGTGATTGATGATAGCATCTTCTTCACTCTGGATTCCCTGAGACTTCCTGAAGGATATAAACCCCAGAAGTCTGATTTGGTCAATGTGGTGGTGGTGGAGAGTAACCAGTCGTGCTACATCTGGCGAGCCCTCTGCATGGCTCCGGTGGAAAGGTAAGAATAAGCAGCAGGCCCTGTTTCTCCCTGAGGGCTTCCCTGCTAGTTGGGAGCCCTTTCCATTCAGTTGGGTCAGCAGTCATTACGCTGCCAAGCGGTGTTCTAGGCGGTGGAGAGACAAGAGTTCCTGTTCTTGAGGAGCTTATGTTCTATAAAATGTAATATCCATACAAGTAAATAAATGAGAAGTCTATCCAAGGGCATCAAGAAAGGTCTTCTGTAAAGGGTAATACTTGAAGGCCCTTGAAGGGGGCTGTGGATTCTGGGAAGAAAAGGAGGACACTTCTTACATGTGAGCCAGATGGCCTGTGCAAAAGATGGTGAGGAGCCAGAATGTCTCATCAAGGGAACAGCAGGTGGGCTGGTGTGGCTGCAATGTTGAGGGTACGTAAAGGTGAAGAGACGTGAGGTCAGTCTGGAAAGGACCACGCTGAACATGAGAAAGGCAGGGAGCGACATGGTCAGACCTGTGCTTGAGGAATTTCCGTTTGGTCACTGGGTAGGGGATGGGGTGGAGAGAGAAGAGAAGAGAAATGTGGAGATCACTTCAGAAGCTCCTGAAGTAGCCTATGAAACAGTGACCAACATGACAGCCAAGGGGCGTCGATGTAGGAGTGGATTTGAAATGCTGCTGATAGCTGGAAGGTCTCTTCTAGATGGGAGATTAGGGTGCTGCCCACCTGCCTGCCCAGGCTTGGGCGTTCCAATCACTGAACATTCTTTAATGTGCCGTTTTGTGTTAAGTGACTACAGGAAAACACTAAATGAAAGCAAGATCGGTTTTGGCAGGAGATAGGATGAGGCTAGGATAAAAAGACATGGATAATGATGAAATTTTCTTTTCTTCACTTTTTGAAAAGAAAACCATTTAGCCTCTTGTGGGAAGTGTTTCATGTCATTTTGTTCTTCAAAATACATTTAATGGTGGGGCAGCTAGGATAGAGCCCTGAAGTCAGGAGGACTTGAGTTCAAATCCGGCCTGAGGCCAAACACTTGACACTAGCTGTGTGACCCTGGGCAAGTCACTTAACCCCAATTGCCTTTGGAAAAAAATACATTTAACGAGTAAGCATATGTAACCTTATAGCTTCCCAAGCTATTGCCACTAAATGACATTGAAGTCACATTGTGTTTTCAGGATGCGCAGTCCCTTTGAAATGTGCAGGCTGTGCCCCAATCTTTCAGCCCTTCATTGTCTGAGGTCGTTACATTTCTTAGACTCTCTCATACAGTCTAAGTTCTCATAAAAATGGTGAAAGTGGAGGAGGGCCTTGTGTTTTTATTTGGACAGGTGAGCATTGAGACTCCTTTAGAAAGCCTTGTTGTCTGGCAATCTTAAAAGAGTTTTTGTAGGTTAGAGAACTAAATCTAAGAGATTGGGCCTGGTAGGAGCTTGTTTTTGTTTTTAAAACTAGTAAAATTTTATTATGTATGTTGGTGATTTCCTCAGAGAATCTCATATCATCAGTGAAGTTGAAGTTGATGAGTCATGTGGAACCCAACTCTTGAAAAACAAAGGAGGTCTTGAAGTTACAAAAATGACAAATTTTGGAACCCTAAAGGAGGGAGAAAGTAAAAATATGATCATCTGGATTGAGTAAGTTTGTTATTTAAAAATTATATAGAATATAAGAATTTCCCAGCAACATTCACCATTACCTGTGTTTGCATTTTTATTTACCATATTCCATAATAATAATAATACTCACCTGACAGTTGCTTCTTTTTGTATCTAAACAAGGCCAAAGGCATTCCACATTGACCTTTCTTCAGTCAGATACTTAGCAGAGGCAAGTCTCAGCTTACAGTAACACTGTGTGTTTAGTGATAGAAATTCTGTGTTTGCAATCCTGTGTTCACAGTTAACTCTCTTTATTTCAGGAATAAAGGAAATGTGCCCCAATGCTTAGTCAGCTGCAGGCTAGCGGGCTGGGAAAAATCGAAACAGTTTCGATTTCAGATGCCTGATGCAGATCAAAGTTGCGCAGTAGTAACTTCCATTTCTTCTGTGCCTGTCAAAGAAAGTTGTTCAGAGGAGGATACTAGTTCACTGTCTAGCTGTGATAAAGAGGTAATCTGCCAGTCATTGGAGAGCAGTTCTGTGGACTCCAGTGAACGTTCTCTAGGTACAGTCTTTGTCTTCTTATCATTTAATGGAATGTTGACTGTTGCTTTGTTCGTGGTTTTGTTTGTTTTGTTTTGTTGTGTTTATCAAGTTCCTAACTAAGCATATTTCTCTAAGGCACATATTGCAGCACAAAATACACCAGAGGAGTCTGAATTCTATAGCCCTTTTCTATCCTTTGCTAGGGAGGATGCTGTTTGGGAGGCGGTCCCCCATTCTGAGATCCCTCGAACTTGTCTTAATCCAACTCCCCAGAGGAAAATAGAATCAGCTCTTTGAATCTTGGAGATTTTGTTTGATCCTAGTTAAAATTCACTCCGTAAACACAGGCAGACGCAAACAGTTTCTTGTCAGTTATTTGCAAAATGTGAAGGCAGACAGAGGTCTATTCCAAATTGTCTTCCTCCTGTTCTAATTCCTCCCCCCTCCCCCCACACTTCTCTTAGGAAGAATTGTATGTGTGGGGTGCCCATTTCAACGAACAGACCCTAAAAAAGCTATGAACCTGTCTCAGCCTCATCTTCTGCATCTCCTCTCCTGAATCTTCCCTACCTAGGAAGTCTGTCCAGAGTTGCTGGAAGTCTTCCTCCAAGTCTTTGAGCCGAGCAGTTCAGTGACTTAACAACACTTTGAATACTACAGGTTTTTGGTAGGCCAGACCCATGTTTCTCTATTAAGGATGTAAAGTCTTCTAAGAATGTCTTATGATGGTTCGTCCAATTTTAGATCAAGTCCTTACTATCCCAGATGAGCAGGCATCTTCAGAAGCACATGGACAAAAGGAAACGGACACGTTAGAGAAGCTGGGTACAGGATCTGAGCACAGCGACCAAGTACCAATCCCTCCAGGCAAAAAGACGTTCATCGTGATTGCGTGTGATGCCAGGTAGATGGTTAGGGGTTGGGAGGGTTAGAAAAGACCTGCCCTCTGCTCACGGGGCTTGGATGAGGTGGCAGTCGACCGCACCGAAGGACAGCCAGGCTTTGCTGTCTGCTTGCTGCTTTGACCTACTCATGTAGCCTCGGAACCTTGGACCCGCTCATCCGCCATGCTTCAGCACCTTTAGGCCTTACTTAGTGTGAGCATGAGAGCAGGGACTGTCTCATTTTTCTTGATTGTATCCCAAGCGCTTATTGCAGGGTTTGACACATAGAACACATTTAATATATGACTTTTCATTCATTTACTCATACTCATTTACTTACCTGTGAGTTTTAATGGGGCAGCCAGGTGATGTGGTGGATAATGTGTGAGACCTAGCCTCAGATCTGGCCTCAGACACATATTAGCTGTGTGACCCTGGGCAAGTCACTTAACCCTCTTTACCTCAGTTCCCTCATCTGTGTAATGAGTTGGAGAAGGAAATGGCAAAACCACCTCAGTATCTTTGCTAAGAAAACCCCAAATGGGTCATGAAGAATTGAACACAACTTGGGACAACAGAGTTTTAAAAGGAATGTGCAAAATGTTACATTAAGGTCCAGGAAATTGAGTCCCCAAGTAGAAGATGAGGGGGTGCATGGTTGAGCAGTTGGTGGGAGTCAGCAGTGTGATAACGCAGCCCAAAGAGCCAAGGTGACCTTGGCCCTCATGAAGAAGCAGCGGCCTCATGAGGTGCTCATCCCGCCGTGCTCGGCTCTGCCTTGGCCTGGCTGCATCGGGAGCCCTGGACACTCCATTTCATAGAGATGTTGGAAAGAGGAGCAGAAGCAGAAGGATGATGAGATTGGAGGAAGAGTGACTGAGTGAACTGAAAGGGGCGAGGGAGAAATTCTCTTTCTTTTTAAGCCTCAAGGATGTCAGCAGAAAGCAGATCAGGCCTGTTTTGCTTAGCCCGAGAGCCAGTGCATTGGTGGGAAGTAGACAAGAAGATATTGAGGCTTGATTCCCAGCAGTGAAGGCTTTGCCGAAGTGGGGGAGGGGGCCTGCCCTGGGGAAGCGCTTGGGTTCCCCTGCACTGAGGCCTTCTCAACAGAGGCTGGATAGTCATTTGTCAGTTGTATTACAGATGGGGGTTGGACTCGATGTCTGCTTAAAGTCCTTTTTAATCATAAGGGACTTATATTGATAGAGGGCACAGGGTGAGTTGAAGATGAAGGGGTGATATCTGGAGAATAAAATTAGGGGGTGAAAGAGGATTATACTGGGAGAAGGAAGGGAGAGGTAGAATGGGGTAAATTATCTCGCATAAAACAGACAAGAAAAGGCTTTTACAGTGGAGAGGAAGTGCAGAAAGGTGAGAGGGAATAAGTGAATCTTATTTTCATCAGATTCGGCTTAAGGAGGGAATGACATACACGCTCAGCTGGGTATGGAAATCTATCTTACCCTACAGGAAAATAGAGGGAAGGGGATGGGGGGGGGTGATAGAAAGGAGGGGGTAATCAAAAGCAAACAATTCTGAGGAGGGACAGGGTTAAAAGAGAGAATGGAATAAATGGGGGGGTGGCGGGATAGGATGAATGGAAATATAGTTAGTTTTTCACAACATGACTACTATGGAAGTGTTTTCCATGACTACACATGTATAACCTGTGTCGAGTTGCTTGCCTTCTCAATGAGGGTGGGTGGGGAGGGAGGAAGGGAGAAAATTTGGAACCCAGAGTTTTAAAAACAAATGTTAAAAATTGTTTTCACAAGCAACTGGGAAATAAAATATACAGGCAATGGGGTAGAGAAATCTATCCTGCCCTACAGGAAAATAGAAGGGGGAGGGTATAAGAGAAGGGGGGGAGATGGAAGAGAGGGCAGATTGGGGGAAGGGGTATTCAGAATGCACGCCGTCTTGGGAGGGGGAGGGGAGAGATGGGGAGAAAATCTGGAACTCAAAATCTTGTGGAAGTGAATGTTGAAAACTAAAAATAAATAAATTAAAAAATTACTTATAAAAATGAAGTCCTTTTCAACTCTGAAATACTGTGATTTTGTATGGGGAAGAGGTGGAATGAAGTCATCTCTTTTGGAATTACAGTAACGGTATCCCCATGAACCTAGATTTCATTCTGCCACAGTAAGCATTCAGACTCGCTGGTCATATTACACAGTCCCCAGACAAAAGACTTTTGTTTCCTCATGTATTCAGCAAACATTTTTAGTTACTGAATAATATGTTAACTGCAGAGACAACCTATATTTGAAATGTTTCCTTTTAGGGAACGAATTAATTGCTGTCTTGAATATTTTAGTTACTATGCAATAGTATCCTTGAAAACTGAGAAGGACCTTTCCTGTTATGCCTGTATCAGCGTACATTTGTACACACTCACTGAGCAATAAGCAGATTTTATTGTCTTACTTTTTCAAGAAATCCTGGCCGCTGCATGGACCTCCTTTTGCTTTGTTTTTCTGATTTCGTTATTGGGCGTTACATTGAAGTTAATGTAGTAAGTGAAGAAGAATTACTCATAGCTGTCACAGAGCCATTTTCTTGGAAAAAGTCTAAAGCCATCCTTCCTCTGGCATCCCCCAAGACAACAGTGGTGGTGACAACACAGAAAAGGTATTGGAACAAGTGTGTGCTCAGCATGTGGTGTTCTTTGTTTAGGAAAAGTCTTGCTGCTCACCTGCCCTTAGGGGGAGCTGTGTCATAGATGGAGGGATCCAGGACCGTGTGAAGCAGGCAGGCCCCACCGTGAGTCTCTGAGCACCGGCCTCCAGTGGCCTAAGCTATAAGTGACAAACTGTCGATCCCTTCCCTTAGGTCCCAATGCTGATGTCGTCTCATCCAGCTGCCTCCATGGAGGAGGAGGCCACTCTCCCTCCAAGCCCATTGTCCAGGCGGCTCACGCCTGAGGAGAGGGGCTGTCATGGTGCATGGCCAGTCAGTGTGGGGTAGGACGTCTGTGCCACAGGTGCCAAGGTCCTTGCTTTGTGAAACACTGTTTTTTGTCTTCCATTTGCTCCTGGTTTTTCATTCTTGTTTCTGTAGGAGCAGGGGCTGGACTCAGAGTCAGGAAACCTAGTTTCAGATTCTGACTGAAACTTACTAGCTGTATCACTTTGAGCAAATCAGAAACCCTCTCCGAGTCTCAGTTTACTTATCTGACAGTGGGGTTAGTTATACTGCTGTAGCTGCCTTTCAAAATTGTTTTTGAAGAAAGTGCTTTGTAAACTTTAAAGTTATTTAAATGTGACCTATTATGGACATGTAAATCCCTATGCCCATTGATTATCTTTTTGTTTTTTTAGCAGGAAATTTAGGTAAATCATGCCATTTCTTAACAGTCAATCTGTTACACATTGTAGTAAATATTCTTGAGGAATTTGGCTAAATTTGGGGGTTATAAAGGGGTAAATTTCATTGAAAATAAATACCCTTAACATTATAAGAATAGGGATGTTTACTTATTAATTTTATTGATTTATTTTTAAGGAACCTAAGAAGACAGTTGCCAAGTTTCCTCCCACAATATCCCATACCAGATAGACTAAAAAGATGCGTGGAACAACAACTAGACATATTAACTTTTCAGCCACTGCTTGCGGAGGTAAGAAAAATGAAGCACTACTTGCCAGTACCCCCTGACGTATGTTTTCTTCCATCTCACGAGGCAGCCCCATCTGACAGTGTTCCATCTGTGCTTGAAAGGTTTGGTGCTGAACCTTTGTGCCAGCCCTTCTGGGGCCTTTGCTGAGAGGCTGAGCTTTGGGTGAAAAGGGTCGAAAGTCCTTCAGGTGCCTTTAGGAACTGTTCAAGAAGGAGCTGCTGGAACAGCTCTGGGGCACGTTCTCCTTTTAAGAGGGCATTTGAGTAGTGACATCACAGGCAAACAATGATTTAAAATGTTTAAATGCAGCTCTTCAGTTCACTTATAAGTGTGAGTTACTGTGTCATCGTTTTCTCACACAGCGTGGCCCCTTCCTTTGCTGTAATGCTTCCAACTTTTCCCAGTTTCTTCCCAGTGAAATTAAGAAGACTGGTGTCTTACGGCATTGGCATAGCATAGTTGGATGGCATTTTGAATGATTATGATTCTCTTGGTTGGATTTTGCATTCCGATTGAGAGGTTCATAGAGGAGAATATATGAAGTGGCCAGTGTAAGAATTTGTTTTGCTTGACTGCATACAGTTTTCCCTTCCACATCGCAGAGGTTAGGAGCATGGCACCCCCGCCATCTGAAAAATCCATATAAAAATTTTTGGCCCTCCCTTTGTACCAGAAAAGACATCTGAATTTTTTTTCTTTTTCTTTTTCTGTTTTGGGGTGTTTGTACCTTATTGTAAAATTTGAGTTGATATTATACAATACTATATGTATATTTTATGCATTTCTGAGTTTCTAAACCTTCACTTTGTCATCTGGCTTTCGCGCATCATCTGCTGGCTTTCGCGCATCGTCTGTGGCTTCCACAAAACTCCCCCAAAATTCCCATTTAATTTCTTGGGCCAATTCATGCTATATCAAAACTGCAGTGGAAAAAGTCGCAGTGTGGAAGGATTGACTGTATTTGTTTTCCTTTGTTTTGCAATTGGAGGGCATGGTAGAGTAAGAAAATAGATTTTTCTTCATTGAAAAACAGACTGTAAAAAAAAAAAGAAAGAAAGCAAAGAAAAAAAGAAAATCAGACCCTGTGAAGGATCTCTGATTTCATCGGTCTGGGGAATTCCCTCTCCCACAACAGCTGTCAGTCCCTCTGCCTTTGGACGCGAGTTGTCTGAGGCGTGTAACCAGGTCACCTAGCACTCCCTCCACATGCCATGCAATCCCTATAGTGAAAAGAATCTATTGGAAAACCATTTTTCTGGTTCTCTTTAACTTAAAATATCAAAAGCCCATTTATCAGACTTTCAGACATCAGTAATGCCCATCACACAGAATGACCAGAAACTCCAAAGAGCTGAGCACCAGCGGTCATGGGGGGAAAAGAAAACAGAGCAGGGGCAGGTGACTGTGTCAGGGTCCTGCTTTTATGATAGTGTCCTTAGGCATACAAACAGCCCCATCCAGGAGCATGAGAGGCAGGGCCCACACTGGCGCTCCCCGTGGTAGTAAAGAGGCAGCATCTGGAGAGGAAGGGGCCAGCCCATCTGTGTTGGGGAGCAGAGCAGGCTGGACACCGCCCCAGCCCTGTGCATCCCAGTGGCCCCCGGGCCGTTACTGTTAGGGTAATAGGTCAGCAAGAACAAGTTAGATTGTGTTTTCCTATACCCGATTTGTTCAAGAAGAGAGGGCTGTGCTACATTTCAGAGAGATTTCTTGATTTTTTATAAAGTGAAACTTTGGTCTTTAACGATTAGCCTTCAGTTGTTTTGGAATTCCTTATTCCCTGACTGGAACAAATAACTGGGTTGCTACTGGACCTTTCACTAACTAAATTCTGTGTTTATTTCAGCTGCTGAATATGTCCAACTACAAAGATAAATTTTCCACTCTGCTGTGGCTGGAGGAAATTCATGCAGAACTAGAAATCAGAGAGTTCTATATGAGTGGAGTAATTTTGAAAAAGAACGGGAATTGTTTGGTTTTGGAAGTGCCAGGATTAGCAGAAAGTCGCCCATCTTTGTATGCAGGTAGGTGTTGTACTTGTAGCACCTCACTGTACAAAGAAGGGCAGAAATCAAAGACAAAAAGACATGTTACTTGTAGCTCTGAAAATGTAATGGTTCCATTCTTTTGCATGAAGATAACAATTCCATTCCATAATTTGATTTTCATTACTATTTGCACTGTGGTATATTTGTTCTGAAACAGCTTTATATCTGTGACTGGTAAACACTGGCTCACAGGGTTCTGGAAGCTTTACCTCCTTCCTTGCCATCTTCCTTCAGGACCGTGCTCACAGTTCCTTCCTTTCTTTTCCTCAATTAGCCTCCACCTCGGCTTCCTGGAGGTCTTCAAAAATTGCTGCCCCTCCAACATTCTCAACTCTAACTGGGCTCTAATCTCATCCCCTTTCTCACTTTCGTGGACCCTTTTTCAGCCCATCTTCTGGTCATTTGGCCCTTGGTTCTTTCTGGTGCCCTCAGTTCTGTCCTCTCTTGCTTCCGTATCCCATTTTAACCTTGCTCATCAGTCAGCAAACATTTATTTAGCACTTACTCTATGCAAAGCATGGTACTTGGTGTGGAGGAAGAGACAAAGTGTTGAGAAGACATGGGCCTGGACTTCATGGAGCTTATGGTCTAGTACAGGATGTACTGAACACCTCCAGACGCCTCTCAGACCCAGTATCGCATGCTAAATCGATTAGAAAGTTGGGGAACAAAGTGTTGTGCAGTGAGGAGTAGACCAGGCTGTTGCCCATGGAGAGCCAGAGAGGGTGGCTTTGGAGGTGGAAGGGCAGAAGTAGGGGAGGACACCTGGGATCCAGGGTGCAGGCCGGACTCCTCCCCCCAGTATCTCTGGGCCATGGAGTGGAGGGTGAAGTCTCACTGTTGTGAACACAGTAGATGCTTCATGGGGGGTGGGGAGAGGTTGGAAGTGTGGTATTTAACGTTCACATGTAGAAGTGAGAGTCTTGTTTTCTTAACCAGGCGACAAAGTGATTTTAAAAAGCCAGGACTACAATGAGCATGTTATCGAGTACATTGGCTACGTGACTGAGGTGAGTGTTGTGTTGAATTAGTCTGCAAAGGTCTTCAGAAAGGGCTGTGAGTGAGGGAATGTTCTCTGAGCTTCCTAACTAGAAACTTCCAGGTGGGGTGATCTAGGGAGTTGGGCACCTCTTAGTAAGCTCCAGATCCCATGAGCTTTGGGGGCCCTCCCATCCCGGACTCCTGCAGTCCATTAGAACCCCCAGATGTTCACAGACAAGCGGTCTCTCAGTGTGTCTTCCCTGTCTTGTGCTGGTAGAGATGACTTTCTGAGCCCATGCGGGAAACTTTACATGTCTGTCTATTAAATTTCATTTTTTAGATCCTGGCTAGTTCTGCCCTCATTGTCTGACACACGTCACTTTGGCGCTCTGTCTTAGTGTGCATAGCGGTAGCATGTGTTCAGTTCCAGGGTCATGGTTTTACTTAAGTTCTTTTGTAAACCCCAAGAAGATGCTTGCCTTGGATTCTCCTTCATCCACTTAAGAAAGATGAACTGAGCATTCTCTGTTTAGTTTTTTACGTGGCCTGGGTGGGGGTTCCAGGAAGGTATCTGACGCAGGGTCTGGGGTTGCAGAGATGAAGGGGGTGTGTGTGTGTGTGCGCGCGTGTGCACTCAACCTGGAGGCTTTCCTATTAGTGAAGGCATCAGGTGGGAGCGAGCTGTGAACATGAGGGTGGCTGGGACTCAGCTATGGAAGCCTCTGGAGCCCGAAGGTCCTGCTGCTTCCTTCCTCCTGCCCCTTCCGTGGGAGCAGACCCTAAGGCAACCTGCTGAACCATCCTCAGGTCATAGAACTTAAGGCTGGAACAGACCTTGGAGATGGCCAGAGTTGGGGGACTGGAGTGAGGGAGCCATGACCGGCACCATCATGCCATCCCACAACGTCCATTTTCTCATCTGTAAAACATAGAGTTCACACTCTCACGTGCTTCCTCCCAGTGTAGAAATGAAACCTGAAAGCAGAAGGCAAGTGAGGGTGGTCGTTCACCAGAGGCTGACTGATTGTACCTCAGTATGTGTCTCTGGCTGTTAAGACACTACTGAGCCTAGAGCCCAGGCAGCTCACCTGGGGGGAAGGAGGGGAAGATAACAAAGCCTAGTCCTGGCCCTCATGAAGCTTGCCGTCTAGCACTGGGCAGGCTGAATATATAGGAATCGATCACTCGGGCGGTATTTATTAAATGCTGCTGTGTGCCAGGCATTGGGGCTCTAAGAACACCGACAAAGCAGTCTTGGCTCTCTAATGGGAGAGCAACCAGTGCCCATGTCTGAATCAATAGGGCATAAGTGTAAAGTGAGCAAGTACAAGTGGACAGAAAGCAGTTAAAAACAAGGCCACTGGGGCTGGGGGGAGGGTCAGGAAAGGCTTCCTGCCCAAGATGGCGCTTGAAGGTTTTTTTAAAGGAAGAGAGGTGGACATGAGGTGTAGGGCATTCCTGGAATGAAAGCTGGCCCAGTGATACTCTTATTGACCTTTTTGGGGGGTGTGGGGGTGGTTGGGGTATTTTTTCCTCTAAGTCTTCTCTTCAGAGCTCAAATACAAAGAAGAGTCTCTGACCAAATTCCTTTCTTGAATGGGTTTGAAATGACAGTCTAGAACTATTAATCGGTTCATTCCCCCTTTATTGAATGCCCACTCTGTGTGTCTAGGCACTGAAAATAGGAAAACGAAACAAACCCAACTCTGCCCTAGGGGAGTGGGTATCCTGCCTGGGACGCCTGCTTCTCACTCACACTCAGCCAACTTCCCAAATGGCGGGCGGGGCTCAGGGACTTAGAGAGTCCTTAGCATCCAGCAGCTGCCATTTCTGAGGGACACAAAAACGATCCATCTCCACCACCTGTACTGTAGTATTTTTCTTAAAATAAATAATATGGGCACTCTTTTTTATTATTTCATTTTAAAGATTTACAGCATTTCTTAGATGAGTAAGGCTGGACATTCAGACCAGAGGAAACTTCTAGCATTTTTGTCTCCATGATCACAGCCCTCCCTTCCCTGTTTTTGCTTGTCTTCTGTTTGGAGTAGGAACTCTATGCAGATAGGTTTGATTTCTGCCCACAAAGAACGTAATGCTGGCCTCTGTTACCCAGCAGGCAGAGCTCATTAGTGGTTGGCTGCCTGCTTCATTGTTAGTCTAGTGGGATGGTCATTGAATGATGTAAATTACTATAAACACCTAAGTAGCTAAGTTTTAGCTTCAGATCTGAGAGCTTTTGGTGTGACTTGGTTATGCTATAAGAATTTTACTACGTGAGACTCACTCTCGTTACGTTGTCTGTTGCTTTTTAAGATTCATGAAGAAGACATAACCCTTAAACTCAATCCAGAGTTTGAAGAAACTTACAACTTTGAGCCCATGGACGTCGAGTTTACCTTCAATCGGTAAAGTCCTCCATGAGCATTCTGCCCCCCTTCCTTTCGCTTCCAGGGCATTCTTGCTCTTTTCTCATTTTTCCAGTGAAGTTGCCTGAACTTGAACTTAGAGAAAAGTTTAAACAAAAACTGGTCTTTAACATTAAGGAAGGAAGTTTCTGATCCCAATCACTGCTAATCTAATGCGGTGGCAGTCAAGGCAGCCCCTTGGAGCCTCTAAAGCTTCACACAGCTCGTGACTGGGCCAGGTTTTTCCCTGAGGTATTTCCAGGGTTTGGGGTTTTTGTGGCCATAGCCTTAGGAGCCCCCAACCATAATTTTATAGCATCTAGTTAAATTAATTCTCAAAAAGAACCTGTGCAAGTGTTAAATGGTTCAGAAAATGGCAATTGTTTCTTAGAAACATTGAAGCCGTCATTCTGCCATTCTTTACTGGGGAGGGGCAGGTGTGGGAGACAGAAGAGAGAGAGTGCACATAGGTCCCCAGCAGTGTGGCTGGAGGACCTGGCCTCTGGTTCAGCCTGTCCATGTGGCACAGATCCAGCCACATAGCCTAGAGTCTCTCCCCTCCCCCCTCGCCCACGCACCTCTAGAGAGCTGTGACTTACTGAGCTGGTACTGATCTACTTTGGGCAGGGAAGCTTTCCTGGAATCTGTTCCAGGATGGGTCTAAGACAAAAAAACTACACTCTACCAGATTGGAAATCCCTAATATTTACAACAAAGGCAGGCCTAAAGTTCTTTCAGCATTTGTGTCATCCACAAAGAAATGGTTTGCTAAACAGTTCACCAATATTGTAAATAAGATTTAGGGGATCATATTTAAATCTGGACATCAGCACCTAAAATACACATTCTGAAGACTGTCAGCATGAGATTCACTGATGGCAAAACCGGTTCCATGGGAATTGTTTACATGAACTTCTGTATGTTGGTAACCTCCTTGCACCTTTTCTACCTAGCATCCATTGACCTCTTTCCAGGGGTCTGTTCCTAATCCGAGGGCAGGCCATTTAGTTAGGGCTTCTCCAAAAGTGCCCACTCCAGTCCCTCGAAGAATGCCCTTTGTGTCTTCCTTCTTCTTTCTCCTTCTAAAAACCAAAAACTACTAGTTTCTAGAGATAGCCAACGTCCTGGAGGAGCGATGATGTCTAATGAAAGTGATCGGCACTGACGCGAATGAGTGACCAGTAGCCTGCAAAGAGGCACACTGTCCCCTTCTGAGACCCCATCCCCGCTCAGATATCTGGGGCTACTGAAGTGATTGGCAATAAGCAATATTAGGAAGTGCAGCATATCCAGGATTTCCCTGGCCGAGTGTAGCCTTCATTCCTCTCGACGTGCATCTGTCTGGCCAGATCTTCCTGGCAGGTTCTAGCTTTGTAACCAGGGCCCAGCTCCTGGAAATAGCCGTCATTGCAATATCCTTCTCTAGCTTTTCCGATCTGATGACTGAAGAGCCTGGCTCAGCTGTCCTCAGATTGCCTCTCTTCAGCTCCCCTAGCCTCCCCCTTCCTATCTTGTGCTCCCAGCCCTAGGACGTGGTTCACAGATGAGAGACATCAGACTTCTAGTCCTTCTGCCTACAGAAATCACCAGGGAGTTTCTGTCACTTTTCTCATCCTTTTTCCCTCTGTAGGCTGGGGACAACGAGGCTCTGATCGACTGGATATGCCTCTGGGGCCTGATTTTCTGCCCACATGGAGGTCTATTTCGTCAACTAAATGTAAACTGTTAGGTTTTTTAAAAACAACTCCACATCCGTATGGACCACGACACACTCCACGGAGAGATGGAGGGCCTTTTCCTGCCACTGGCACCTGGAGTACTTATACTCTAAATAGAGTTCCTTCATTAGAGGAACATGCAGGTAAAGTGAAATTATACGGAAGTGCCCCTAACATTTTCTGTTCTCTCCTCCTTCACAGGACAACCAGCAGAAGATGTCACTTTGCAGTTGAGCAGGCAATACACCTGGGTGAAAAAGGTCAGACTGCAGGGTCTAGGACGTCCTATCCCCCTCTCTCTCCTGCACTACTTCCTCTGTTCCTAGGGGGTCTTAGATGTGAGCAGTTTTAAAACGTTTCCTGAAAAATGTGCAATTTTGAAAAGAAATATGGGGAATTAGACCACTTGACATCCACATTTTTAAGCTTTGTTTTCTAAGATATTTCAACCACATTCAGCAAGTGCCAGTGGCCTAAAAAAAAGCAATTTGCTGTTTTCTCCTTCTTTCCACTTTTATTGCTGTGTGTTGGTGGGTGTATTGATTCCACGGGAATGCCGGTTTGCTTTTAGTCGTGTAGAAAACCTTGGAAAGGACGGAGGGCAGAGGGAAGGGGAGAACGATGAATGGCATCGCGTCCCTTGGGTGGCTCCTTGGGATGAGCGTGCCCGAGCTGGCAAGGGCTTACATGACAATTTCCTGTCTCTCTTTTTTCATTTTAAAAACCACAGTATTATTTCCAGAAAGTATCATTTTACAGTCTCCACAAGTTTCTGGGACTTGGAACTATTTGCAGGATACTGCTAAGGATGAGCAGTCTGCTCCTAAGCAGGGAAGTAAGGTAATCTTCTAGTGACTCTTACTTTACACTTGGGAAATGATTGTGGGTTTCGTTTATTAGCCAGTACTATGTGAAAACAAAAGAGAATGGATTACATGCATGAAATTACTCTATTCCCAGGACAGGTTTGTCTGTGTCCAGCTCTCAAAGCCTGAGACTCACTAATGGCCTCAGAGCTGTGGTTGTGGTCGTCAGATTTAGAGCGGCCGGTGGTGGGTGGTTCAATCTTGTTGTCGTTAAAGGGAGGCTCTCTCTGCGTGCTGATCAGATCGCGCCTAGAGACAAGGGCTTGTGTCTTTCTTTGGGTCACCAGCCCTGACATAGGGCCTGGTATATTCATCAGTGCTCATTGATGGATTAATTCATCAACTGATTATCAGCGGTGTCAGGGCATGTAGAATCCATGTAGATGAACTCTCCCTAGCCTCCCCAGAGCCCTGAGCTGCAACCCCCCCCCCCCACACACACACACACTAGTACTCACAGATGTAGCCTCCCTGGGTACCAGAAGTCTTCCTTAGGGCTTTGTGTTACTGTCTTCAAGCTTCTCTTGGGCATTCACCTTATGATTTTCTTAGTCATGGCAGTTTTAAAATTTCTTTTAGTGTGCCATTCACCTGTGTTCTACCATTTTCACTGAGTCCATCCTATACTCTTTTTCAATTGAAAAAATTGAAACATTGGCACTCTTCTTTGCTCATTTCAAGTTTTGGTTGGGTTTTGTTTTCTGGTGATTTCTTACCATTTCTCCTTGGCGCTGCTATATTGGTTTAGGGGGAGTGTAGGAGGAACATGGCTCCTTTCAGTCCTCTGTGTGTTAAATCTTGGGGGTCTCCTCTCTCTCTCTCTCTCTCTCTCTCTGATACTGTAATGAAAGGAACAGATTACGTCGGTTTTGTCAAGTGCTGTGTACCTCTATTCAAACACTTGTCCAGGCAGATAAAGCCTGGTCCTATGGGAGCCCTGTGAAGGAAAGAGCTTGTGGGCTAACAGAGCATTTCTCAGAGGAGTGGCCAGGTCCAGCAGGCCCAGGAAGGCTGACTGGGGAGGTGGGCTTCCTCTTCCAGCCCCTCAGCATGAAGGCAGCGCTGCCCCAGTCATCAGCATGTTGGAGCAGCACTGTTTCGTGAATACAGAGCTCCTGTTCTTCCCCTCAGGTTCCTGTTTTCAGCTTCTCTATGATAATACTTCGTGCCCAGGGGAAGCACTGACAGGCTCTGTGCTAGCTGTGTTCTCCTGAGGTTTTCCACTAGGTGTTCGCAGTATGTATTAGAGGGACACGACCTGGGGTAGAACAAGCCATGTTTTCATGCAGCACAAACTTGGGGGGTTTTTAGTGTTTTCCTAAACTTGTTAGCGATTAAGCACTTGATTGAAAATCTTTTTTTCCAGAATAAGAAGAAACCAAAGGAGCCAAAGGAACACGCAACAAAGAAGAGAAACGCCAGTTCCATTCGTGACGTGGTGACGTTTGCCACGCAGACAAGTAATTTGTGTATTTTAGAATATTTGCAGAGCGGGTAAGGTTTGTCAGGGACATTCAGGGAGCTGAGCTCTGCAGGCTGTCCAGCCCATGCTTGGCCCCTCTGATGAGGGGAGGGGCTCTGCTTTGGGAAGCTGGGCGTTCTGTTCTCCAGCAGTACTGGTAGTTAGGGGAATCTTCCTAATTTTGCCCCCAAGTCTGCCTTCCTGTAACTTCCCACCATTGTTCTGCTGACCCTTCACATGTTTGAGAAGCTCTCACCTCCACCTGAAATCCTCTGTTCTTTAAGGTACCAACGACCCTTAAAAGACGTAGTCTTTACCCTCCCATGCTGGTCACTCTACTCTGGATATACTTGTTTCTGTCCCTGCTAAAATGGGACACTCAGAACTGAGCTCAGTATCCTGAGTGGGTCCAGAACAGCAATTCTCTTTGTCTCCTCCTAGGAGGATGAATTCTAGAATTTTCCCAGAAATCAGAGTCAAGCCCACAGCTTATGTTTTGCACAGTAGACAGTCATTTATTTTAATCGGGACTGTATTTGCCCTGCTATAATCCCCTGGTCCCGGTCATCCTCGCTCTTTTAGTACCTGAGGATGTAGTTTATTTGGGCCAGGTGAGCAGATCCAGGGCAGCTCAGTGCTCTCCTCCTGTGTGCTTATTTAGAATGGGCATAAACTCCCTGTTTTAGCCATTTTTGTTCTGTCTTTCCAATCAAAGGTCATTCTCTGCAGAGAAGAGAAAAGCAGTTGAGTCATGTTGCTTAGTGCCATTTGTCTGTTCTCATCCGTCTTTCTTTAATTCACCTCTCTCTTTTCCCCACAATATCTTCTTTAATTCCTTTCCTCATCAGCTTCAGCTCATTCGGGGCTTTTGGGTTCCTGATATTACTTTTATAATACCTTCCCATGCTTTAGTATTCACCTTGTATTTCCTGCCCTCTCCTCTTTCTCTGTCTGTGTTTTAAAAATCTCAGTGTGCTCTCTACATTCACAGCAGTCTCTTCAAACAGTTCCCATTTTTCATCCTCACTGAATTCTTTCCCTGTGTGTCTTCCAAAGTTTGTGCTTGAGAGTTTCCCATCCCAGTCTGGGATGTCCCAGCCCTGAGCAGACCTCCATGGAAATTTTAGTCTCTGGGTCCTACATGCGCTTCCCCATACACCCTCTGAAAGGTGTTCTCTGAGAATGTGGGGCTCACGTTAGGCCACAAACTCTGCAAGAGGCAGGAGTTGCTTTCCCCCAAGGTTTCCATCATTTCTGCCAATTCCACAACCAATTCCTGTCAGCGAAAATCAGATCCGGAATAGAATTTCCCTTGGTTGGTTGCTCTGCTTGATGAAGGATGAAAATTATCATTAAGGGAAGTCAAGTTATTAGCGACTCTGCTTTTGGAAAGGAGAGAGTTCCAACAGGTGTCTGTAGAATGGAAGCCATCCCTCACTCCATGTCACACCTCTGCACCCAAGCCTGTGACCTCTTAGAAGGGGAATTCCTCCTCTCTTCCCTCCTTTAGTGTGGGTGGTCTCTGGTGCTTCCTAATGTTTTTCACCACGATTCGCTCCCATCTGCTTTTTGATGCTGCCCCACCAGAACTCCTTTTAGCCCTTGTGCTGCTTTTAAATAAGGTAGCCCCATCTAGAGATATTTTCCCATCATCCCACCAAGTTTTAGTGATACTTGTGAACTAAAATGTGTCACCTGGCATTAGGCTCGCTAACTCATCTTACTCATTCCCTAAATCTGGGCCTTTTGGTGTGAACACTTGAGAGGTTAGTCGCCAACTCCTTCCTTGAGTCTGAGCTGTTGTAAATGTGTGGCTGTCCCATTGCTGTTTTTCCTGCATGGCGGCTCCTTTCAGAGGTCATTTCGCATGGGCTGTGCACAGGTGGGCAGTTCTCCCCCTCACTCCTTGAGTCTGTTTGCAAAAGGACAGTGCTGAAGCTTTGTCAGCAGCCTTAAATCTGCTCCATCTCTGGCCAGCAGCCTGGCGTGTCTCTCCTTAAGCCCTGGTTTGGAAATACAAGCTCTTCACTTCCCACATCAGTTTTTCTGTTCTGGCCTTGAGAGATCAGCAGTGAAGAAGATACAGCCCATGCCCCTCTGGTCGTCAGCTTTGTGCCCAAGATCTTGCCGTCTTTGGCCATGCTTTTGAGGTCATTCCTGCCAGTGTTTGTGCCCAAACCAATACCCAGCAGTTGGTAGTATTCATCCGTTTTGAGAAGTCTTGAGAAGTTCTCCATTATGTCTTGACTATATGCCAGAAAGACAGGAGATCTCCCTATCAAAACAGGCAACAAGTGAGCCTTTTTAAAGTGTGTGGAATGTGTCAGACAGTGTCCCGGGCAAAAATATGAGAATCTGCTTTTGAGGAGTTTATACTTTACTGGGGAAGCACATCTTTGTAGATAAGTACATAATACATGCTCTGTGTGTGTGGATGCACACGTAGACGTACACTAAATACAAGGTATTTTCAACCTGGGGAGGGAGGGGGCAAGAGGAGAGTGTTGCCACCTGGGGGAATCTGAAAGGGCCCCCAGGATGCTACATCTGGAACTGGAAGGAACCTGTGATTCCTTCATTGAACAGAGACAAAACTGAGATTAAGTAATTTGCCCAGGGTCACCCAAGTATCAGTGGCAGAACCAGGATTTGAATCTGGGTTCTCTTGACAACAAATCCAGCTTTGCATTTGAAGGAGGGAGCGTTAGGTAAGGAAGGAGAATGGTCTGGGCGGTGGGGCCTGGGAATGTATTAAGGCCCAGAGATGGTTGGGTGTGGAGGAGTTCAGTGTGGCTGAAGGGTAGGTGGTATATGAGGGTGAAAAATGGGCCCCAGACCTGGAGGGATGAGCTCATGGCAGTTGGAGAAAGGCTTCCAGGGCCAAGTTTGTATTTTACCTTAGAGGTAAGGGAGGGACGTGGTTCAATCTGTGCATTAGGAAGTCACGCTATCACTGAGGGTGATAGAGTGGGGAGTCAGAGGGTGTGCGGAGGCCAGCTGGGAGGCTGTTGCCACAGTCCAGGTAAGAGGAGATGAGGGCCCAGACTGGAGTGTGAAGGGAAGAAAGGGAGAGACATGAGACCTTATGGGTGCAAAGTCGATGGGCTATGGTGGGTCAAGATGAGGGAGAGTGAGGAGCACTGGTAGGGGCCTCCAGAGAGAAGGGGCACAGTGGGAAAGATGATGAGGAGGAGGAGTCCTGATTTGGACGTGCTGAGCGTCCAGTGTCCGTAGCACAGACCATCTTCGGTCAAACGGGCCTCCTCGTCCTACATGCGTCTTGGCCACATCCTCCCAGAAGAGGTCCGGCCAACCTGCTGGCATTGATCTAGTGCAGTGGGGAGTGTCCGTGGCACCTGGGGGCTGGCACTGGTCACCTCCTCTTCCAATCAGGCATCTCTCTGATGACGTCTTTTATGCCACTTCCCCAATAAGACAACATTGGATGAATGTGCATATCGTGATGTTAAAAATGAAATGGCAGTACTTTATTTGACAGATGTATTGTTTTGACTGTGGGAACCATGTCTTTTATACTTTGTCCCAACCTACCCCATCTGTGACTTGTTAGATAATCCTGGGGAGTCACCCAGAGCACGGCACAGTGCCTGGCACATAGTGGGTACTTAGCAAATGCTTGGTGAGTGACTCAGTGATATTTTGCTGGCTCTAGGCTATCATGTGGGACCCATCCCAGTGTCTGTTAACAGATCACTATTCTCCCTTCAGGGTCTTTCACCTACCCCACGAAGGCTTCTCTTAACCCCATCTGGGGAATTAATGAGTTACCATCATTACTGTCACATAGTATTCTTGTCTCACTCCCAATAATTGAGCAGAGCAGGGCAGGGCCACAGCACCCTATGTTCCAAATAGTCACTGGGGACTTGGGGATTTCTTATGTCATCAATGAAAAAGTTTTTCAACAAGGTTTTACTTTTATACTTGACTGTTAAAATGGACTATGCTATATATACTTTTTCTACATAAGGTTATAGAGGGTGAAAATTGGATTCAGTTGTTTGCCCTCTATATAAAACTATGTGTTTGTGCTTTGAGTACACAGTGAATGGAGTACAGGCCTCGAAATCAAAAGAAAGAGAATTTTTCAATCCAGTTCTAAATGAAAAGCAGAAACTGGCGGTTAGAAGAATCTTAAGTGGTGACTGCCGACCAATCCCATATATTCTTTTTGGACCTCCGGGAACTGGAAAAACAGTTACCATAATAGAAGCTGTTTTACAGGTAATTATCACTGGCAGACAGACCACAGGATGCTCCTTAGAAGCACGGGCTGGCCGAAATCCCAGTTAAGATTGTAGGAGGAAGAGACAGATTAGGGCCAGTGCCCAGCCCTGGGGTATGCGGAGTCAGCAAGCTCTCACTGCCTTAATAGCGCTATCTGGATGCTGTTCATTAAGTACATAGATGTATCATTCTGCAAGCAGCCTTATTTTAAAATTCTTAACTCTCGGGTTGTTTGACAGAATTTAAGGGGCATATTTCCCAGCCTTTAGAAGATGCTTCATTTTCAAAATGGCAAACTATTCAATCATAGGGTAGCAGAAATTTACCTACAGAAGAAATGCTACTTAAAATTAGCCCTGGCCATTGTCCCCAGGCTGCAGAAACGTCGGGTTAAATATATAAATTTTTTGTGAGATCGTTGAGTAGATCAGGCTTTCTCCCAGAGAGGGAAGTCACTTTTGTACCTTATCCCATAGCTCTGTGCTGTGGCAGAAAGTGGACAGAGCTGGACAGGGCAGCATTTTCACTTTAAAGTTAAGGAAATAGATGCGGGGAAATTAAGGGACTTGCCCAGGGAGCTAGAACAACCAAGTAGTAAGAAAAGACTCGAGGAGAGGTCTTTCCTTCCAACTCCACTCCTCGGCTCTTCCCAGCTTTAAATCGATTATGTCCAGATTTTATATTTAAAAGTTATTGGTTTTGTGGGTTTAAAAAAAATCTCATGACATGTTGAAGGACAATGTGACTTCCATCTCTCTTTGGCCTTTTTGTGTGTGACACAGATTCATTCTGCTTTACCGGACAGTCGGATTCTGGTCTGTGCCCCATCCAACAGCGCCACTGACCTCATTTGCATGCGGCTGCATGAGAGCAAAGTGCTTGCCCCGGGTGCCATGGTGAGAGTGAACGCCACCTGCAGATTTGAGGAGGTGATTTTTCATCATGTGTTGGATTTAACCCTCCACTTTCCCCCACCACAGAGCCCACAAATCTTAAGCGTGGGTCATAAGAGGCCTTCCAGCTAAGTGTGAATGAACTGAGGTTTGAGCCCTGGGGGAGTATCTCCTACTTCACCAAAGTCCCTAACTCCAGAACCTTCCGTGATTCCCCATTGCCTGCCAAGTTAATTCCAAGAGCACCATGTCCTACCTCCTTTTCACACTCAGGTTTCTATGATGTGGCTCCACCCTCTGTCCTTGCTCACCTACAGCTTAACTCTTACTCCGGTCAAACTGAATGACTGACTTCCCCCCTATCCTGTGCCCAAGCACCCAACTCCCACCAATGTGGCATCTTCCAGCATTGGAGGCCAGTGCTTCTTCCTACCTTCTCGTTCTTCCCCAAACCCCAATTCGCCCCCAGAGGAAACCATTTCCTTGTTAGTCCCCCTAAGAGTTAATATTTACCTCTCTCCAGTGGTGATTCTTCTGACTCTTGGGACAGTTACCACCCCATGCCACTACCCAGTGAAGTGGAAGCCCTTTGAGGGCAAGAATTGTGTTTTATCTGTCTCTGAATACCTACAACACCAAGCTTAGGGCCTCATATATAATTTGTTGTTGAGTCGTTTCAGTTGTGTTCAACTCTCCATGACCCCATTTGGGGTTTTCTTGGCAGAGATACTGGAGTGATTTGCCATTTCCTCCTCTAGCTCATTTGACAGATGAGGAAACTGAGGCAGATAGAGTGAAGTGACTTGCTTAGGGTCACACAGCTAGTAAGTAGCTGAAGCCAGATTTGAACTCAGGAAGGTGAATCAGTTTTTCTGACTCTCGCTCTGTGCGCTATGGCGCCACTTCACTACCCCCCTCGTATGTAATAGTGAATTAAAAATACAGACAAGTGAAGAGGATTACATGGATATCAGTAGGAAACTGAGAAAGGATTCAGCTCATTTTAGCAGATGATAGGCATTGTCCTCAAGGAGCTTAATTAATAAATTAAAGTGGAGCGTTTGTTTCTTGAGTCCTTGATGATGCCTTTATATTTCCCTCATGAACTCAGATGTCGGAATCGAGGAATAACTTTGGAGTGTGAAAGTCCGATGAGCTGAGCAGAAGGGCTGTGAGCTAGCGTTCCATGGAGCTTGTGCTCTCAGGCTGGACGGGCCCAGGGCTGAGTCAGCAGGTTTAGGACAGGAACCTCGTAGCCTGGAGCAGTGAAGCGCAGTTGGCCTTTTCCTAGCTTCACCAAAGGTGGGCCCATCCCCTGGACTCCAGAGCCTCTGGTGGCCTGCTGTCTGGGCGCCCCCCCAGTAGAAACACTGTAACAACAATAATAGCCAAGGGCGTGGAGCACTGGAAGGTTTGCGGAGTGCTTTGCCACTTTTATCTCCTTTGAGCCTCACGACACCCTTGGGAGGTGGGCGCTCTTGTTACCCCTGTTTTGGCAGACAAGGAGACAGAAGCCAATAGAGGTGAGATGACTCACCTGTAGTGACATCACCAATAAGTGTCCGAGGCCACATTCGAATTCTGATCTTTGTGAATCCAAGTCCGTTATTCTCTTGGGCCTGTGAGGGACCTCATTTCCTCCAAAGGCATAGCTCACAGGCATCCCTAGTATACTTATTTCTGTTACTTACCCAGAGAGCAAAATCAATTCGAAGCAAAGGAAGGCTGAAATAGCATAGGAAGAAAAGAACCATAAAATGTTTCCTCCCATAAACCTAGGGCTCACTCGCCCCCAGTGACATCTGTCAGGGAGGAATGGACACACCTCGGGAATGTGCATGTGTAGGAAACACATGGCCAGGTCCCGCATGTGAAGAGGCAGTTCATGTCTCTCTTGCTTGAGAGTTGGCATTGTCTTCTGGAGACGTCACTCCACCGTCTCCACTAGGCCTTCTCCCTGCTGGTCATTGCTCTACAAGGCACATAATATTGAGCATCTCTCTCTCTCCTTCCAGCTTCTGGATTCAGTTTGGAGTTCTCAGCAGAGGTGCTCCCTCTTCCTCATAAGAAGAGGAATGGTCTTAGCTTAGAGCCCAAAGGCTTAAGCTTCTGGGGGTTTTAGGTAAGCAGGCCTTTCCTTTACCCATATCAAACTAGCTTCAAACCCTTGTCTACTTCTCTTTAAGGACAGGGAGGTCTGTCAGCTCCCCAGTGCTTTGGATATAGTTGGGTTTTTCCTCCCCAGAAGGAGTGTTTACCTACAGGGCACAAGTTCTTTTGGGTCACAGAAAGCCAACCAGATGAGTATAACACATAGGCGTTTCATGTTTTTGAACTTTACCTTTCTGTTCATCGGAAACATCTTCTTTGCCCTAAGTCTCTAAAACTTCAGTAAGAATATTCTTCTAACCCTTGCTTAATTCCTGTAGCAAGATCCTGTTCCCCAAATGGGCCTTCTGCCAAAAATGAAAGGGAGGGGCAAAGACAGAGAACAGAATCTTGGAGATCAAGGTGTGTCAGGGTCTCTCCCTTTGACACAATCCTTTGATCCAAATTCCTGCCTTTTTGGTGTTTTGTGGACGGTAATAAGCCTAGGCTTTGAGCTCCCCCAGATAGATTTTTAGCCTTCTTTGGGTAGTAGATTTTATTTAGACAAACACAACTTGGCTTTCAAGTTGATAAAATGTTGGTATTTATTTCCTGAGAAGTTAAAGAATTTCTGTCACTGGATTTCTTTGAGAAGATGTTGTAGATGATTCAGACATTCAGTGAATACAAGCAGCTGCCTCCCTGTCACGTATGTCCAGTGCTCTGGGTCACACTTAAGAGACCCCACTTTCCAAAATAGAACAGAAAGAGCTTGCAGAATAGCTTGTTCCAATGCAGAGCGCCAGACCCCATCTGATTGAGGATGTGGTCCCCGCCCAGATGCTACCAGTCCCCATCTCCGTTCAGGGTTCAGTGCACAGCCCTGGCTTCACACACTCTGGCTTTGTAGACGCAAGGTGTTCTGCTGGGTGCGGCGCTAGACAAGTGAGTTGTCTGGGGAGCAGGGTTTCCTCTTCCACCAGTGGCGTGGAAATCACGAGATTGTTTCTTAGGGCGTCGCTTTGCTGGGCTGGTTGTTTAAATGTCTTTTCCTTTGTGTTACATGGATCACGTGGTATAGTGGCTACAGTACTAGATATGGAGTCAGATACACTAGCCGTCCCTGGACAAAAGACTTGACCACCTTCAGCTCATTTCTTCATCTGAAATGAAGATCCTGCTAGCACCTCCCCCACAAGCTTGTGGGGATCAAATGTGAGATGCTGGATGGGAAGTGCTGTATAAACCTACAGGTGCTAGAAATGTTGGCTCTCCTTATTATGGTTATTACTGGATGAGAAGCAGTATGAGATGGGGGGTTTTGAGCCATAGATTTAAATACAGACTGGTCTGCTTTGAACCTCAGTGTAACATGTAGAGGGGCCCCCGGCTACATTATTTGTGTTTACAGGTTGCATGATCCCGAATAACGGAAGGTTGTTGAAGGCCTGTATGCCCAGCATGTTGCATAACCAGTATGTCCCTTTTAGATTCCCTCCTCATTTACTCTTCCCAATCTCCTATGATCAGTCCTCTCAGGCACAAAGAAGCCAATTATTTGTTGAACTCAAATATCCCACCTCTGCCCCCCATGCCAGTTTCCAAGGTGTGCCCAACTTCAGTTCAAGGTCTACCTGTTCTTGCCCTTCCGTAGGACTGAGGAACCAGTAACAGCTTCATGTTTCTGTAGCATCAAACAGTCAGCACTTTTTAAGCACCTACTGTGTGCTGGGCACCATGCTAGGTTTTGGGGATTAAAAAGACAAAAATTATCAGTCACTACCCTCAAAGAGCTTACCATGAAGCTGTTCACGTTCTTTTTTCCTCAGATAACTCTGTAACATTCTAAAACTCTTAGAAATCTCATCAAACTTTGACTTAGTTCATTTAAACTCAAATTAGATTCTGTTCAATATATGCTTAGTAAGAATGTGTTATGTACAGAGTACTATCCTAGGTGCTGGAGATGCCCTGAGTAAATCTACCTTCTACTGGGATGGGGGTGGGGTGCAGCGCAGACAGACAAGTAAATAAAATGCCTCTGTCAGGTGGATGCAGTATAATTTGAAGAGTGAGACCCTTAATATCTGGTGGAACCAAGGAAGGCCTAGTGTGAAAAATGACGCATGAGCTGGGCTTGAAGGTAAACAGAGGAGTCTGAGAGGCAGAGAGTGTAGAGGGAGGGTATTCCTAGTACGGAAGACCACCCTGCCAAGGCCCAAAGGCAGGAGATAGCAGGTCAGCACCAGCAGGCCTGTTGGACTTGACTAGACAGTGGGTGAAGGCGAGTAACCTGAACTAAGCCTGGGCCAGATGTTTGCTTCGTGCTCGAGACAGTCACCTCATCGGAGCTGGCCTTTAGAAATGCCACTTTGGCAGTTGTGGATAAGGGATCAGAGCAGGGAGAGACAGAAAGTAGACCAGACACAGGCCAAGCTGAGGTGCCGAGAGCCTGACCTTAGTGGGCAGCCCAGGGGGTGGAGGCCAGAGATGGCCCTGCTGCTCTCGCGGGGTGGGGGTGGAGGAACGTGGCCGGGGAGGCTGGTGATGAGCATAGATAGCCAAGGTTAGGACAGGCGGGCTTGATGGCTTTAGTCCTCCCTTTCTCTGCCTAGTCTCTCCCCTGAGTTCTAATCTTGCATCACCAGCTGTCTCTGAAGATGTCACACACTGATACTTCCACCCAGGTGGCTGTCAGCACGCATTGATTAAGCACTCACTGTGTGCTGGGCACTTTACCGAGCACTAGAAACATACATATAAGCAGAAGGAGAGGTGATGCCTGCCCTCAGGTAGCTTATATTCTAACGGGGAGGGCGCCTGACAAGAAGTGGGGGACACCTGGCAGAGTAGGGCTGGACACGTCAAGTCCTGTGCAGACAGGCCTGCAGTGCAGTCTGGAAAGGAGCAAACGTCATGAAGGCATCTCAAAACTCACTGCGTCCTCAACCGAATTCACAATTAACCTGCAAACCCGCCCCTTTTCTGCACTTCACTCATTTGTCTCCTTCCCGGACTCCCTGTTCAGTTCATTCACAAACAGCTCTCACCTTCTTTCCAGTCTTGTGTCATACCACTCCCCTTCATGCATCTTCCATTCACTCACTCCATCGTTAAACATTTATTAAGCACCTACTGTGTGCCAGGCACTGTGCCAAGCACCAGAGATACAAAAGAGGCAAGGACAACCCCTGTCCTTGAGGAGCTTTCACTCTGAGGGGGGAGACAGTATGCAAACAAATATATACAAAGCAAACTCTGTACAAAATAAATAGAAATAATTAACAGAGGGAAGGCACTAGGAGGAGGAGTTGGGAAAGGCTTCCTGTGGAAGGTGGGGTTTCAGTTGAGACTGAAAGGAAGCTGGAGCAGTCAGTGGTCAGAACAGAGGAGGGAGAGCGTTCCAGGCATGGGGACAGCCAGAGAAAATGCCCAGAGTCGGGAGTTGCAGGGTCTTGTTTGTGGAACAGCCAGGAGACGGGGATCGGGGGATCGAATAGGGCGAGGTGTCAGAAGACTGGAGAGGTGGGGGAGGGGTGGGCAGGCTGTGAAGGACCTTCCGTCCAGCCATCCTGCTCCTTCCTCCTCTATGTCTGGCCCATTCCCCTTTCTCCTACTTTAATTGGGGGGTTGGGTAGAAAGAGCCGGTCAAACAGTGTTCAGAGAAGGTGGTTAATGTGTTTATAGACCAGCTTGTGCATGTGCGTTTTTGTTTTAGACCATCAGTGACACTGTACGACTCTATTGCAAAGACGGGGAAGACGTCTGGAAGGCGTCTCGCTACAGAATCATCATCACCACGTGCAGCAGCTCTGGACTGTTCTACCAGATTGGAGTGAGGTATGTAAAATGCAGCATGCAGCTTAGGGGGCATGTTTGCCTTTTGTAGCACCAGGAGACCCTCTCTCCCTCCATCCTCATGAGAGAAAGGCAGTAAGATGTTGGGGAAGCGTCTCCCATCCTGTGCCCCTGACAGAAGTCAGCAGATCCCATGGGAGGTGGCACTGTACCCCTCCCCCCCGCACTCTTGCCCTCAAGAAATTGAGAGCTGCTGATTTCTATATGGCCTAGCAAGGGCAGTCCCAGGATTGATTGTCGTCTTGGCAACGTTCATCTTTGGCTTCCTCACGCCCCTGTTGCCCTTCCTGCTCCCAGCATTCCTCCCCTAAGAGACTTCCAGTTGGAAGGCCACGTGTGGGGATGTCAGTAGAACAGCCCACCTCTCCTGTGTTCTCCAACAAAGATCACCAAAGAGTAGTGGACTGAATCATGACGAAGAAATCCAGAGGATGACTAAAGTAGGTTTCTTCACCCAGCCCAGGACTGCCAAGAAGACAGCCAGCATCCTGCAGACACTAGGAAAGGGGCCTGGCCAGAAAAGCTGAAGCGGGCACCATGCCACGAAGCCTAGAGTGGCTGTACGTGAGAGCTCAACACGCAGGCTCTGAGGCAGAGGGGAGCCCTGAGCCCAGAGGAGGGGAGCCAGGTCTGCAGTGAGCTTAATCTGTGGAACTCCACAGGGCCCTGAAAACAGCAGTGCTTCAGGAACCGAGGCCAGAAACCGGAGCAGCCAAAATAAAGAAAGCTTACGGAAGGCGACAGCTTCACAACGGCTACCCGGGCCTCAAAGAAAAAAGGCTTGGCCACAAATCTACAGGAGTTCCTAGAAGAAACGAGATCATTGAAGTAATAAATAGAAGAGCTCTGGAGGATGGAGTTGTAAGGACAATAAGTAACTCAGAGTAGAAAGTGTTCAAACCTGTCCAGATGTTAGGAGCAGGCCTTAGGCCAGCACCTTGTTAGTTCAGATTTAATACTGGCACAAAATGAGATTGCGTCAGTCTGTAAGGATGTCCAGCACATACTTCACTTGCGTAGACACAGTACCTATCTCCCATCTCCATGTGGAAACCCACTGGGTCAGCAGGGAAGAGCGTGGCAACTCTCAAGGTCTTGGGACATCCTCCAAGACCGAAAGGCCCAGACTCCGCATCAGTGAGCCTTTGCAAGCCATGGCAGATAGGAGGCGACCTGGTTTCTGGGCACAGCCAGATGGAAACTCTCAGAGTTGCCGGAACCATTCTGTGTGGGACACACCAGATAATACAGGGTCCCCAGGTGTGTCATCCAGTTACTTCAGATGATGCGGTAAGTGAGGAGTCTGTGGCTGTGCCAGAGGTGCTATTGTCTATGTTCCTGGTCCAGCTCCTCCCACTTGTTGAGACTACTTGGCGCTGTCAAGGAGAGGGCTGAGGAAAAACCTAGAATTTCTGGCTTTTATTCTCCACGGTTTTTTCCCATTCATTCGTTCATTTGCTGTTTCAGAGAGGCTGTTAAAATTGTTAGTTACTGTTTTTTTGAGACTTCTTTGTTTTTGCTTTTTTTTAAACTTTTGTACTAGTAAAAAAAAAAAGAGAGAGAGAGAGTTCTACTTAGAAAGTCACTATACTGTCTTCTGTTTGACCCAGTGAGACCAGGGCTAGGCACATGCCCCAAAGAGATCAGAGAAAAGAAACACATGTCTGACAAATTTACAGCAATACTTTGATAAAAGGAACTGAAAACTTGTCTGTTGGGGAATGACTGAACAAATTATAGCTTATTAATGTGTTGCAGTGTTACTATGCCATAAGAAATGATGAAAAAGATGGACTCAGAAACTTGGAAAGAGTAGTTTGAACGGATGCAGAGGGATGTGGGCAGAAGCTGAAGGACATTATGTATGTTCAGGGACCACAGCACTGTATAGAGACGTCATTTTGAAAGACTTAACTGTGATTGATACAACAGGCAGAGTGCCGGAAGACTGAGGAGGAAACGTGCTACTGCCCTTCTGACAGAGGACGGACTCGGGGCAGAATGAGACACCCTTCGGTCATTGCCAAACATGTGCTTTGATTGCTCTGAGGATTCCTCACGATGACGGGGTTTGATCAGAGATTTTGAAGCTGTGATTTGCATCATGAGACTATATGAATTCAAAAATTATTTCCAGCTGTGAATTCTATAATCTGTAATTCTGTATTTTGGAATAGAGTAGGATTGCTTCCTTTTTCCTGATCGCTGGTAAGGTTCTCGATGCGTCTGCCTCCTCTCAGAGATTTGTGAAAGATGACGGCTGCTCGGCCACAGAACCCATCTTGGCTTTCCCCAGCTATCTCTTGGGGGGCGGGGACACGGAGGGGTACTGTAAAGTTTTTTGGTCACGTTTTCTCCCTGCTTCCCGAAGTTCCCTCCAAAGAGGCTTTGGGTGCTGGTGTAGCCCAGCAGTCCACACCCCCCTGCCGGAGTCTACCTGAGTCCAGAAGCTTCTTTCAGTCTGTCACTAACAGTGATCACTCAGGCTTCAGTGACAACGTGAGACCTCAGGAGGTTGATGTCAAGCGTGTTTCTTGTTTTAGAGTCGGACATTTCACACATGTTTTTGTGGATGAATCAGGACAGGCGAGTGAGCCAGAATGCCTCATTCCTCTGGGCTTGGTCTCAGAACTTAATGGCCAGGTAAGGTGGGTTTGGGGGTTTTGTTGTTGTTTAGAAAGAAGTGTATCCCAAGACACGGCTTTTCTGTTGGTCACCCAGAACTTTTAAATGTCATAGGCAACTGCCAATATAACTTGCCTTCTTTAAATGTGCTGGAATTACCTCAGTAACTATTGCTGTCCTTAAATAATTTGTAAAGTTTGAATATCCCTACATCATTCGTTTTTTAAAGAAGTTAATTGGTGGGAGTGGTGAGGTGTCTGTCTGTAAAGGCTGATTGAAGAGTACCACTGAACAGAGAAATTTCCTTCCTTAATTGGTGACTCTGAAGGCCCTCAGGAGTCTCTGGGGCTGTGGATGAGCTTGCTTCTTACCCACATGAGGCCGGCCCAAAGTTGTGATGAGCTCCACTGGCCTGTCGATGGCCACTGTCTCCCCTCCACCTTGTTGTGTTGTGTGCCTCTGGGGCTCTGGGAGGGGTCCTTGAAAGTCCCCATCACTTGAACACCACGTCCCCGCGATGCCCGTTGAGGTTCAGGGAGGCTCCTACCCCGCAGCTTCTGGGGTGGGCCTAGGGTACTTGTCACAGCTCGTCACGAGCTGGTGGGCACTTTGGCATGTGAGCCTCAGTTCTCCAGGCCCGTCAGGATGCCAGTCTAGCAGCAGAAGTCATTTGTAACTTCTTATCTCTCGAGGTCTTTTTTTTAAAGACCATTGACTTGGCACAGGTTTCTGCTCTGGGGCAGTGCTGGGTAAGGCACATACCTGTTGTCCCCGTCCACATGTGTGTGTGGCATGAGAGCTGTGCCTTATGAAGCCACAGAGGAGGAGAGGGTGCCAGTTCTGAGGGCTTGTTTGTGTGCTGCAGATCGTGCTGGCCGGAGACCCCATGCAACTCGGCCCGGTCATCAAGTCCAGGCTTGCTCTTGCCTATGGGTTGAATATGTCCATGTTGGAAAGACTCATGTCTCGACCCTTGTATCTCAGAGATGAAAATGCCTTCGGCGCCTGTGGATCCTACAATCCTTTGTTGGTAAGTCCAATGCCACCTCTCTTGTTTTCTGAAAGAGAAAATCTTTCCTCAAATCCTTTTACAAAGAGGCCATGTCATGGAGACCTGAGTTTGAATCCAGCCTTGGACCCTTCCTAGCTCGGTGGCCCTGGGCAGGCCTTATGTAAGTCTCAGTTTCCTTTTCTGTCCAATGAGGATGTCGGAGCCCCTGCCTCTTAGGTCATTCTGAGGATCAGCTGGGACGCCACTTGGAACACCAGCTGTTACATGGCCTGGTGTTGTTGTCATCGACTACCTTTTCAGAAAGCCTTTCCGAATGCTCTCCGCTGGGCGGGCCCTCCATCAGAGTGCCTGGTCTTTAACCACTTTGCATGGACTCTCCTTAGGTGTGTATAAGGTATGAGCCTCGTCCTTGTTTTCCCCTCCATTAGAATCTGAGCTGCTTCCGAGTGGGCGTTCTCATCGTTCAGGGTTGTCTCTCCATTTCCTGGCACGTAGTTGGCAATAAATGACACAATCACCACCATTATTGTGACTCCTCAGTGTCCTGGCTAGTCATCCAAAGTAACAGCAGTTTCATCTGGTTACAGTGAGCGTAACAAAATAATGTTTATGATTGTTTATGATTTTGTTTTCTTTCATTTTATTTTTCTTCTATTTATTGTTCAATTTTTTGCATTTTTTTTTAAATTTTGAGTTCCAAATTCTCTCCTTCTTGTCTAGCCCTTCCTCCCACCCATTGAGAGGCAAACAATATGATATCAATTATATATGTGAAGATGTGCAAAACCTGTTTCCATGTTAGCCTCACGGGCTTTGTCCAAACCTCCCTCATGTAATGTTGTCTTTTTTTTTATTAATTTATTTTGATTTATCAGCAATCACTTCCATATGCTTTTGAGTTTAAAATTTTTCTCCCCCTTCCTCCCCACCACCCTTCCCAAGACAGCGCACAATCTGATACAGGCTATACATATACATTCCTATTAAACGTATTTTCACATTAGTGATGTTGTATGTAAGAATCAGAACCAATAGTAGGAACCATCAGAAAGAGGAAAAAAAGCTCAACAGAAGAGAAAAAAAACGGCAATTCGGCTTCCAGAGTTCTTTCTCTGGGTGTGGACAGCGTTTTCCATCACGGGGCCTCTGGAGATGTCTTAGATCCTTGCATGGCTGGGGAGGGCCAAGTCTATCAGCATTAGCCATCGCACAGCATGGCTCTTCTTGAGTACCGCGTTCTCTCGGCTCTGCTCACTTCACTCTGCACCAGACCACACGCGTCTTTCCAGGTTTTTCTGAAGTCTGCCTGCTCCTCACTTCTTATAGCCGCATAATGTTGTCTTGATATCATTGGTTTTCAGTAGTACTGCCGATACTTTTGATGAAACACCATTGGCCGTCCAGTGACCCGTGTGTAACAGGGATCACATCTTTTCTGTAGAAATAACTGTTCCCTGTAACGTCATTTCAGATGATGATGGAGCTATTATTAGACAGAAAATACTCTTTCTCCTCCACACTCTCCACTGCTTCAGACAGTCAGCTGTGGCCCCTAGGAAAGCCAGCCCACTTTTAGACACCAGCCCGATGCAAGCAAAGTGCTGGGAGCAAACGACGGCCAACCTGGCCCTGTGTTTCTCTTTTCCTGCTGTATTAGAAGCATCTGATTTCCATTTACTTCACCAGAGAAGTTGAGCCTTTTTAAAAGAAGTCCTTTGGCCTGGTACAAGTATTAGGACTGGAAGTAGAATGTTGAGCTGATGATAAAATACCTGTGGTACAATATAATGTATTTGAGAGGTTTTGTGGAATTTGCTCTAATAGAATTTTAATTATACATTCAAAGTGGAAATGACAATGAATTTTATTGCAAGAAACATTTTAAACAGAAAAATTAAGATGTTTAAATCTGATGCTTGTTAATACATATAGATATAGATAGAGATATATATGTAGATATAACTCTTCCTGTAAACGACAAGATAAAAATAGGTTTTATTGTCAAATGATACGGGCTTTGATTAATAGAATATTTTTCGGTAATTCATGAGGTAGATATTTTAGTTCTTATTCCACAGGAAGCTATGGAGGGAGGGGTGGTGAGGGAAGGAGAGGAAACGAAGGAGCACGGGTAGGATCCACCTGTCTCCTCCACGAGTTGGAACCCGGTTGGAGCAGTACGATGTTCAGAGCTCTGTGTAGCCGATGGATGAGAGGTGGTGGAAATGAGGGGACCAGCACCGTGTGCTCTTAACACTGCCATCCCCAGACCCAGAAACAGTGGGGTTTTTTCAGCTTGTTGGCCGTAGTTTAAACAACAGGGACCGGTGTTGGGTCCAGCAGGGCTAGGGCGCCATGGAGGCCCTGGCTGTGGCCCCCTCTTGCCCAGGACCAGCGGAGGAGCCCTACAACCCAGAAGTGCACGTCTTCTGTCCCTCTCTGGCTTATCAGTTATGGAAAGCTCAGGCTTTGGCTCTTGAACAGGGCTCTCCCAAGGGGAGTGAGTAGAGAAAGCTGGTCAGTGTACAGTGTGGACCAGATAAGGGATGACTTCATTTCCTCCACACAAGGAGTTCTTAACACACGTGAGATCTACAAGCTCACACTAACAGAAACCTTCCCCAAAGCAGCAGCAATAACAGGGCAGCTGGTGATGGTCTGTGAGGAGAGTGTTATGAAAACAGCAAGTCATGATGATGTTTACAGGGCTGCAGGCCTGTAAATGCCATTTGCATTTCACCTTGGGTCTACACTGTCAGAGCAGTTCAGACCCAGGTCTGCTGGCCTGGCAGGTCAGGAATTGAGGAGCAAAAGTACAAAACCACCCAGAGCAAGGGGCACGGCGAGGGCTCTGAGCTCCACCTCCAGGCCCGCCCACATGGCCCATGCCAGTTGCTGTGGGTGCTGCTTAGTAGACGAGGTGGCCGGTGGGCTCCGGTCCACTTCCAGGCCCTTCCAGGGAGAGGCTTGGATAGTTCTGGCAAGGACTGAAGGAGGGAAGAGAGGAAGAACAGCAGAGGGCAGGTTCTTTAAGCTCTTCTTTAAGGGTTTATGGTATTAGCCATTCTTTGTCCTCAGTGGGCAATAAGAGGGTTGTTTCCTCACCTCTGAACAAGCCCTGAAGCACTGAGCCTTGTGGCAAGCACTGGTACACCCTTCTTTGGAGGGCACCTATAGGCCCATCTCCCAAGCACGAGCGAGGCCTGTTCACAGAGACCTCTCTGGTGTTCTCTTCCTTTCCTGTCCAGCAGTAAACACTCACAGTTGGCATTAGAAATCACTTACACAAAGTAAGAAGATTGATTGAAATCAGTCTTAACATTCTTTAAGGGGCAGCTAGGTGGCGCAGTGGATAGCGCACAGGCCCTGAGTCAGGAGGACCCGAGTTCAAATGTGGCCTCAGACCAAACACTAGACACTTACTAACTGTGTGACTCTGGGCAAGTCACTTATTCCGAATTGCCTTAAAAAAAAAAAAAAAACATTCTTCAGCACTCACTCTTTTGTCCATTCCCAAACCAGACTTGTATCTCTGCCTTTGCTAGTGGGCTTGCTTCTTCTAGGGGACAGGGTTACTTCCACCCTCTTCTTCCTCCATATACAGAATCTCAGAGCTTGAAGGGGCCTCAGGTAGCTTGAACAGGAATTCCCTCTGTAACATTTGGTAATGAATGCATCTCTTTCCTCTGGAGCTTGAGGGGTGAAGACAGTATACCTCCTGAAGGTGACTGGCCACCTCTGTGGAGCTAATTATTAGGAAGATTTCTTTTTATTGAAACATCTGCTGTTGCTCTGACCTCTAGAGCCACCCAAACCAAGTGCCCATCCACATGGCAGCATGCTGACGCTTCATCAGCCATCCTGTCCACCTCAGGCCTCTCCCAGTTACGCATGCCCAAGGGGTGGGACAGCCTTTTTTCATCGAGCATGTGCTCCAGTTTATCAGGGTCCTTCTGAGGAGTGGTCCCCGGAGCCAAAACAAGCAGGATGTTGCCACATTGTGCCCCTTTTAATGCGGGGGAAATTGTGCCAGGTCCCCTACACGTCAGACTTAACAGGGATATCGGATGCAAAGAAAGGTTTTTTATTGCGGGTTTTGTTCATGCAAAAATATTCTTCTTTCCACCACTCTGAGAGGCAGGGGAGCCAAGAAATTATTCCCATTTCATAGATGAGAAAACTGCAGCGGAGGGCAGATAAGTGACTTGCCCTAGGTCACACAGCTGGTGAGAGTCAGAGATGAAATCCAAGCAGTGCTCTCAGAGGCCTTGCATCCTGCTTCTTCTCAACTCCAGTTTGTTTTTTTGAAAATCAGGACCCTACCCATCTCTGTTCCTTCAGGACTTCTCTTCTTCAAGACTTCATGAATCAGAGACAATGACATCTTCCAGTTCTTTCAGTCCCCTGGGAGGTCTGCATCAAGACACTCTCACCCTTCCCTCACTTAACCTCAGGCTTCAACTCATTGCTAACCATTTTCATAGTCTTTTGGCCAATCTGAGCATTGTTCTTCTTGGTGAGGTAAATAAAGAAGCAAAAGGAAAGTTGAGCAATCTGTTTCTCTTATCGGTTATCGCTGACCTGTACCTCCCACCGTAAAGATCCCTTTGATCTTCTTGCTCTCAAACACACCTTTTTAAAAAAATCTTGTTTTGTGTCCTTAGGATTTTCACTATCCTCAAGTTGTTCTGAGCTTTTAAGCCATAGACTCCTACCTATTCTTCATCTGCAGTCTTGGAAATCTGTTTTTTCTGGAGTCCAGGGTGTGCCTTAGAACAGACTTGGCTAATAAAAATGACAGTTCTACCTAAGCTAATTTACTTATTCAGTGCCATACCAATCAAACTACCAAAAAATTATTTTATGGAGTTAGAAAAAATAACAACAAGATTCATTTGGAAGATCAAAAGGTCCAGAATATCAAGGGAACTAATGAAAAGAAATGCAGGGGAAGGTGGCCTAGCCATTCCAGATCTTAAATTGTATTGTAAAGCAGCAATCATCAAAACTGCTTGGTA